CGTCTTTAGGCACTGTGGGATCGACGACGTGAAGACTTGACGCAGCTTTCCATATGCTGCCCAACCTAGCTGAATTCTTCTATTCACCTCGTTCTCGAAGTTGTTTCTACCCATCTGCAATGTCTGCCCGAGGTATACATATTTTTGAACGACTTCGAGAACAGCGCCGTGTACTGCAATCGGTTCCGGTAGTACATGTTCATTGAACATGACCTTGGTTTTATCCAAGTTCATCCGTAGGCCGATGCGTATAGAAGAGTCAGCCAGGTCATTCAGCATCCGTTGTAGGTCCTGCAGCGTTTCTGCTACGATGACGATGTCGTCTGCAAATCGCAAGTGAGAGATGTACTCGCCATTTATGTTGATGCCGCGTCCTTTCCAGTTCAGCGTCTTGAACATATCCTCCATTGCATTTGTGAACAATTTCGGGGAGATAACATCCCCTTGTCTCACACCTCGATGCAACGGTATCGGCCTTGTTTGCTGATCCTGTACTTGGACGGACATGGTGGCGGCCTCGTAGAGACATCTCATCACTTGGATGTATCGCCAATCTACTTGGCATCGCTGCAGGGACTCCAGAACAGCCCAGATTTCGACCGAGTCAAAGGCTTTCTCATAGTCCACAAATGCTAGGCACAGGGGCTGATTATACTCCTCAGTCTTCTGTATAATCTGCCGCACTGTGTGGATGTGGTCTATGGTGCCGTATCCGCTCCGAAACCCAGCCTGCTCCGGTGGTTGGAATTCGTCAAGTCTTCGCGCAAGGCGGTTCGTGATCACTCTCGAGAACAGCTTATAGACGTGGCTTAAAAGGGAAATGGGTCGATAATTCTTCAGTAGGGTTTTGTCACCCTTTTTGAAGAACAAGACGACCACACTCCGACTCCACGCCTCTGGAGTTCTCCCTTCAAACAGGACAGCGTTAAATAGCTTTTGCAGCTCCCTGAGTACCGGTTTGATGCCTGCTTTTAGAAGCTCTGTCGTAACGCCATCCTCTCCAGGGGCTTTTCCATTTTTAAGCTGTCCAAGAGCGATCTCGATTTCGTCAATGCTGACTTCTGGCAGGTCTTCGGTGTAATGGCGTATTAAAGTGGCTCTAGAGTCCTCATTTCCGGGGTCAGGTCGAGATGCATGCGAAGCGTATAACCGGCCGTAGAAGTTTTCTACTTCCGAAAGAACTGCCGGCTTCGAGACAACGACTTCTCCACTTGCTGTGGTCAACTTCGTCAGGTGGCTTCTTCCAAGAGATTGTACGAACACTTTTGGCCCCCGGTTTTGCTCGATCGCTCTCTCGATTGCAAGGGTATTCGAGCACCGGAGATCGTGTCGCACGTGTTTGCTAATCTCTCGGTTTAGAGCCCGCTTCTCTGACGAAGTGACGGGTGGGTTTTCACGTCGTCTCTTCATAAGCCCTAAAGTCTCTTCCGAAAGCTTCGACTTCCTGCCCTTACGCTGCATTTCACAAAATCTCGTACCTTCTTCCCTGAGAACTCGAACCACGTTTTCAAGGTTCCGGTTAACGTCGGTTGTGGTTTCCAGGGCAGCAAATCGGTTCTCCAGGTTTAACTGAAACGCTTCAGATCCCATTTTGATTTGAAACAGGGTTGGTCGGAGCCTGGCCTTCATCAAGCGGACTCGTTCGGCTCTGAAGTCGATATTCAGAGAGCCTCGGACGAGTCGGTGATCGCTACCGGTATTAAACCTATTAATCACGGAGACGTCTCTGAATATGTGCCTTTTGTCCGCCATGATGAAGTCGATCTCGTTCTTTGTCATAGTGTCGGGGCTTTGCCACGTCCACTTCCTTTGGGGCTGCTTCTTAAAGAATGAATTCATTAAGAACATCCCCTCCCGTTCGAGGAAATTGACGAGCATTTGCCCCCTATGATTCCTGTTTCCATACCCATGGGATCCTACTACCGATTCACTGCAATTTTGTATTCCCACTTTGGCGTTAAAGTCCCCCATAACAATGTTGTATTTACATATACATACATAACAATAAATATTAGTTGTTATTTTTTACATAACGTATTTTTCGACTTAATTGATACGATGATAGAAATTTGGTGGTTGGTATCGAACTTTCTGGTAATTTCATAGTTCTTTTGAGTGGTTTTATAACTTTAGCTAGTCTCTATACATGTTAATTATTGGTAATGTAATACAATTATGGTCTGAGTGAGATGTCGATCCGATTAATTAGACGATACGATACGATTCATTAATATCTAGGTACCTTGGTAATAGGTGAGTTCAATCAGATATTTCTAGGTCCCAAGGCCCGATGGAGAAGTCACAAAAACAATATAACAGTTCCTCACAATTTCTTTCTCAAGTTGTTTCAGTTTTTGAATCCGTTTTTTTTTAATTACACACGTATTTTATTTCTCATAGATTAAACAGACTGTCATCAATTTGATTGTAACAATACTATTGATTTAAAATATCGTGCGACGTCACGGTTTTAGACTATTTATACTGAGAGGTGACAAAGCAACATTCAACTCCTCATGTCGTCATTCATTGGTATAGAGATAGGTTTGAATCGAAAATTGTTCTATTAGTTTTTGGATTTAGTTTTAGATGATCTAGTCAATGTCCATTACTGCTTAGCAGCTTATACTTATAGGTAATGTAGGCGCGTCAAAGTGTATCATCATCAGCCTATAAGTGCCCATTGCTGAGCAAAGGCTTCTTCTCATACGAAGAAGGTTAGAGCATTAATCACTACGCTTGCTTAATGCGGGTTGGTGATTTCAAATTTATAATTAGGAATTATAAGTCCAAGTTTCCTCACGATATTTACCTTCACTTTATGTCAGTGGTGTCTAAATAATCATAGAAAGTACATATAACTCGGAAAAAGTCACATTGGTACTTGCCAGGTTTCGAACTTATGCCTGAGAAGCGGGCTCCTTAACCTCCGGGCCACCACGTCAAAGTGCATACAATAATAGTAAATTAATTTTGAGAAACATACAAATCCAAATCACTATAGATAGTGATTTTTAGTATTATTTGGGATTTGTAGTATTATTAAGAAAAAGAAAGCATTTAGAAAATGTTCCCTCGGTCATAGATAAATATGTTAGCAAAGAGTTCTAACAGCTCTGAGCAGAGCCTAAGTATATGGTTACAATAATAAATGACAAATGTAGAAAATTTATCACCAGATTTAATATGAGAACCATTCTTTGAGATTTATTACGAAGGAAGTAAAGGACGGCGGAAAAATAAATATGAGTAAGTGACATCGCCGGTGAAATTATACTTATAATAACAGACTTGAGACTTCCCTAAGTAGGTAAACAGGGGATGTTCTTTTATGAATTTTATTCATTATAGCATACTCTTAATTTTGAGTTTTAGCTCGCCACTCACTTAAGCTCAAACCTTCTCCGTGTAAGAAGGGGCTTTTGCTCAGCAGTGAGCACTTATAGGCTAGATGATGCTGAAGATGAGAGCATACCTAGTTATACTTTTAAATACTTATTAAGTTAATACCAATATGTACCTTAACAATAAATGCTATTTATTTTAGCCTTTATACAAATTCAAGTCCTTTTTATTCGGCAAACATGCTTATGTAAACAAGCAGCTAACAAAAGTTTCACGATATAAAAATTCTTTACATATAATAATCTTAACCAACATTAATTTATAATTTGGGGTTTTCAAATAGTAATTTCAGGTAATATTTACTTTCGACTTAAAACTAGAATACACTAGAATATTCGTTTAAATTGTTAGTTTGTTATAATGGTATTAACAACAATTTGAAAAACGAATGATTTTTGAAATGGCAACTATATTTATAGTCTTCAATCACTTAGTAATAACTAACCTAACTTCGCATGAACGTTAAATCGAAATTATTTTTTTTAAATTTCGAAAATGATACATACATAAATTGTTGATATATAATATACATAGGAGAGACATCAATACTCTGTGCCTACAATACTTTTCAATGGTTAGATAAAAATATCTGGGGAATAATTATGATTCTGTCGCGTCAGAATGCTATAAGACAGTGACAGCAACAACTTTGTTCCTCAGATAAAAATTGACTATTTAAAAATCAGCCCTAATTTACTAAAAAACGTAAGCAGTCAATCACTAAATAAATTGTCTATCTCCAATGAATAAATATTTTTGACCTAGTCATCAGCCGTATCTTATCAAGTAATTTTGTGAGCACAACATTAACATAAGTATTTAATATTCCAAAGAAATATTTCGTGAAAATAACTAAATGACTTCGTACAAATATAGACTTAGCCAATTTCAATAAAAACCCAAAACTACAGAGCGGAGCGCCGATTTGGAAAAAAGAATTAAAAAAGTTTCGTCGCGTTCAATAAAATAAAACAATTCTGGGCTTCAGTAAAACGAAAAAGCCTCAATTTCTACGGAATTGAAGTAGGATGAAATAGGTTAAATCTTTAGGGAAACAAAATTGTATTTTTGACTATAAAGGAAAACATCTTTAAATATGAATTAATGAGTAGGTCTAATAAACCATCTATTACGAGTACGGAATATATTACGTACAATCTCGGAAATCAATTGTCGTTTTGGGATGGATTTGCAGAGACTTACCTACAGAGTTCTATGATTTTGGTCTAATCGTAATCGTGTTTTCCCTCAAAAAGAGCACAAACCTCTGAAGTATATTAAAATCAACCCCAAAACGAGACCTAACCAACCACCATTCTTTAAAACCTTAACATTATAAACGCTTACATCTAACAGTACAATTACAACCACGTGCCGTCTTCATATTCAGCACAGTACAGTCTCCTCAAAGCGGCCAGCTTCCGAGCCCTACCAGCAACATCATCATCAATAGCATTCCCCCCACATTGGTACACCACCATCCAGTCACTAAAACTATCCTCTACATAGCAGCCTTCAACATCTTCCACCAAAGTCTCCTCGTCAATCTCACAATCGTTTTTTAACCAGAAACATTGGAGGGAACTTAGTTAACGTCATTCATCGCAGAAAAGGACTACAGGAGCTGAGTGGTGGTCCCTGTTGGGGATGAAACAGTCGCAAGCTGGTGGACCTGGTGAGGATAGGGCAGAACCAGGTCCTGCTAGACCACCGCAGGAGAGACGAGCCCTGTCTCTGATGTTGAGAATGGACCGGTTCAGCCCCCATAAGTCTTCGCTCTCTTCGTTCATGTTGCGGAATAGACCTGGTTCTGGAGTGGGAGATTATGTTATTATAAGTACAAAAAAGGAATGTCGCTCACACGTACAGTTGACTGAAGGTGGGAGATACTTACGGAATCTACTCATAGTGTTTTTTCTTCTCTCGTGGTCTTCTCCGACTAACCACCACGTTCTCATTTCGCCTTTACCCTGGAGAAATTGTAAACTTTATTTATTATCTCACGTATAACTGTAAAGAGCAAACACAAATAATTTGATAAAAAATGGACGTAGGCCACACAATTCAAAGTGCAATGAGCTTTTCTTATTAAGTAACGAGGAACATCCAGAAAATACGATCACATTTTTTTTGTCCCACCGATTTTCTTGTAAGTAATTTTGGTAATGTTGATAAGCAATAATGGACCTTATTGTTTTAAAATATTGGTATTCCTAACATCTACTCGAACCTTACAGAATTTGTCATGTGTCGGAATACTCGGAATTCAAAACATTGAGTTATTTTCAACGTAAATAAAGGTTCAATTCACTAGAAACTGTTTTTATGGTCTATTCTAAGTACTCTAAACCTATCAAGATTTTTTAAGGACCCTTAGAAAAACATGGCTGCCATTTATTCAAAGAGACATCTAATGAAATTAAAATGACTACTTGTATAGGCTCTATTTTAGATAAGTCCACGTCTTTTTTTATTTAGTTTAAAACATGATATTTCTCGAGAGTCGGGTTATTTGTTTTTAGACAAAGAATAATAAATACTTCGTAGTCACTAACAAATTTTTACTTTATCCTTACCTTGATGTTAACAATTCCTCTCTCTTTAAAATGATAACCGCCATGTTGTTTGAGGAGGAGATAAGTATCATGGCTGACATGGATCCTCTGAGGTTCTCCACTGGACTCCATCCTCGCTGCAGTGTTCACCGTGTCTCCAAAAAGACAGTATCTTGGCATTTTCACTCCTACAACTCCTGCTGCACACTGGCCGCTGTGTATACCTGAGAAGGAGGATCTTGGTAAGATTTTGAGACCTTCATTTAAATTAATTGTCTTTATGATAAGAAGTTTTTTTTTTTTTATTATAGGTTCGCGCTTGACCGCTGTCTCACCTGATGGAAAGCGACGATGCGGTCGACGATGGAGCGCGCTTACCTAGAAGTAACCTGTTCACTCTTGACTTAAAGATACCCAGATTGTAACTATCAGGAAACACCGACTCCGGCAAGGAATTCCACTCCTTGGCTGTGCTCCCAAAACGTTTTGTACGTATATGTGGGACATCCACCATGTACCGGTGGCGCAATGCCGTCCGTCTGGTGGTCCGATGATGGAACGGGCTAGGCGGAATTAAATTATGTAATTCCAACGCACATTCCCCGAAATGTAACCGGTAGAAAACCGACAGGCTAGCAACTCGGCGTCGATGCTCAAGACTTTGAAGTCTCGACTCGACAAGTGCATCATCGCCAATGATCCTCTTGGCTCGCCTCTCAATAGACTCAAGCGCATCAAGTTGGTATCGGGCAGATCCGTCCCAAAGATGAGAGCAGTACTCCATAACCGATCGAACTTGCGCCTGATAAAGTTTAAGCAGCTGTTCCTTGGGAAAAGTTGGGAACCCTTGCGAGGATTCCCAACTTTTTTGCAGCCAGTTGAGCTTTTGCTTCGATGTATGGCCCAAAATTGAGAGTACATGTCAGCGTTGAGCCTGCTTCTCATACATGAAGCATCCTCTAGGGCGCGAAACCTTGTCAATGTGATTTTTCCGAGCCATATCTACTCTATAACACTGTTACTGTTTGTTTTTCCTTAAAATAAATTAAATAACTTAAAGAAAACCACCGTCATGAAGTCTGAACCCATAATATCTGATTCTAAGTTTCAAATCGCCAATTCCATTGAGCAAGCGATGTGGTTATGCGTGTGGTAATGCTCAAACCTTCTCCGTGTGAGAAAACCTTTGACTAGTAGTTCTAAATGTTTTTACAAACGCGGTTTACTGTGCACAGCACAATATTTAAAAGCAACGGACGATGCGACGACTTTTCGAATTCATAACACGGCTTAATTAGGTTGTCACTACTAGGAGAACTTGGTATTCATTTAATACTTTTATAAAAGATAGTTCCTTGGCCTTCATAAAACAGTCGAAATATAACACATTTATCACATAAAAAACGGTTTATATTTCTTTGTCTTCTAAAACTGTGAGAGAGACATTATGAACACAAAGTGTCAAACACATCTTGCGCCTTTTAGAAAGATGTTCGTTATACCAGTAGTGTTTTTCTGTTGCCCTTTTTGCCCTAGTTGCCCTATGATTATGATTTTATAAAGCAAAGAGGGGACAGTCACTGAATTTATTGATAGGATTCGACGTCGCTTTGACTAATTACAAGTAATAAAATATCTTAGGGATGACGACAATATGTGAAAATAAAAAATCTGTTATCTATATTTAGTCCGCTAGTTAGATAATGATAAAACTATATATTATATAGTTTTATCATTATCTAACTAGCTTTATCAGATTATAGTTGACATATTATGTCAACTATAATCTGTCAACGAAGCAGTACATTCTTATACAAAATAATAGTCCCGAGAAGAATTAAGACTCAAAATGGCGTCAAAAGGACTTGTAACACAGCTTAAGATACAGACAAGTGACTTTAATAACTTAAGTAAAGATCTTCATTAAGTAATTACAAGTTCGCACTAAACTTTCTAAGACGATAAAGTGCTACATAACATTTGTACAAATGCTGTCACGCTTTTACCTTTCAAAGAGATAATTATGCAAAATGTTTTTATTATATAAACTTTTATTGTATATATTTTGATGTTTTTTAAGTTAATTTATTTTAATGTTTCATTTATTTTTATTGTGTATTTTATAATATTTATTTTTTACTTATTTTCAAATTTGTAATTGTTTATTGTTGTCCGATGGTGGCTTGTTCATCCGCGAGTCACTTAAGGGGCCAGTAGAATACCAGCGCAAAGCCCTGTCTAGCACATGCTGAACTGGTTCCATTTCACCGCAGACATTAGTAAGTAGGTAGTTCAAATTCAAATTCAAATTATTTATTTGTGGAACATAGGTTAAGATAAGATGTAATTACAATGTTAGGATCGCTATGTTTAACCTTATAGGCGTACAAATTTAATTATATTTATAAGGAATACAATATTATTATTTTTACAAAAATTGAATTATAAACACAGTCAAATAGAGTATATCATAAACAAATCGGACACCTTATGTAACGGAATTTCTAACAATTACTTTTTGTTTATTCCCTCTGTTAAAAATTCACCAATGGAATAGTACGCTTTTTTAACCATAAAGTCTGTAAGCATTGTTTTGAATTTGTGTATGTCAGTCTCAGTTCTAATAGCCTTGGGTATCGTATTATAAATTTTTGGAGCCATTCCCTGAAAGCTTTTTGCGTATAATGCTGTTTTATGGGGTCTTACATGAATAATGTCCCGGTGACGGTTACTAGTTAGGGTTTCAAATAAATTTAGATGTTTTTTAACGAACATTGCTACTTCAAACATGTATAAAGCTGGAAAAGTCATTATTTTTAGATCAATAAAGTGTGGTCTACAACTGTCAGTAGCTTTTATTTGACATACTGCTCTTAAACACTTTTTTTGTGCCTTAAATACTAGCTCCCTATCTGATGCGTTTCCCCAAAATATTACTCCATAACGCAATGTAGACGACACGTATGCGTGATATGCAGTGAGTACGGTTTCGCGGCTTGCGATTTTGCTGAGATTATATAGGGCGTACTGAAACTGATTTAGTTTTTTTATTATATGTTCAATGTGTTTATTCCATTTCATATGTTCGTCTATATAGAGTCCCAGGAACTTTGTATGGTTGGTTTCTTCTATCTTTTTGTCAAAGTATGTAATATTAAGTTTATCATGATTAATTAATTGTTTGAATGAAATAGCATAGGTTTTTTCTAAATTTACATTAAGATTGTTTTTATTTAACCATGTTATTAATCTGTTTATATTTACTTTAATGTCCATTTCAATGCTATTTGTTTCTAAGTTTTGCTCTGTAAAAATAACTGTACTATCATCTGCGAACAAAGTCATGGGATGTTGAATAACTCTAGGCATATCGTTAATGTATACGAGGAACAATAACGGGCCAAGAACGCTTCCCTGGGGCACACCAAAGCTAGTTTTTCTTGGTTTTGACTGATACGTAAGTTCCAAGTTTGTCTTCTGGCAAATCTTTGTTATACTTGTTATTTGGAACCTATTTTTAAGATAAGATTCTATTAATTTTAATACATTGCCCCTTACTCCATATTTTTCTAATTTAGACAAGAGTATGTCAAAATCTACATAATCAAATGCCTTGGACATGTCCATAAACAAGGCAGTTGCGCGTGTCCGTCTATCCATATTTGTTATAGCTTTATTTACAAGGCCATATATTGCCATATTTATACTTTTACATTTTCTGAAGCCGTATTGTTCATCCGCTAATATTTTATATGTTTCCAGAAAACTATATAGATTGTTATAGATGACTTTCTCGATTATTTTTGAGAAAATTGGAATTAAAGCTACAGGTCTATAATTCTTAGGATTCTGTCTATCATCTTTCTTAAACATCGGCTTTATTACAGATATCTTTAAATCTTTAGGGTATTTACCATGTTCTATGCATAAATTTACAATAAAGCTAAGAACCGGAGATATTTCGACATCGACACTTTTTATCACTTTAGTAATAATTTCGTCATAACCTGCACTATTGGTGTTTTTTAAAGCTCTGATAATTTTGGATATATCGAAAGGAACTGTAGCAGGCATAAACATTGAATTATTTGTTCTTGTTATAAAAGATAAGTCAGGATTTTTACTATTATTTAGCGGTTGAACTAAATCAATGTAATAATTATTGAACTCTTCCGCGATTTCTAATGGATCTGTTATTTCTTTGCTATTGGTAGTTATTTTACAAATATTTTCTTTCGGACCGTTTAATTTATTTTTATTTATAATATTCCAGGTAGCTTTAGATTTATTTTTTGAGTTTTTAAAATTAAAGTTATTTCTTGATTTTTGGGTGAGACGGATGATTTTTTTGAGTCGGTTAGTGTATGTCTTAAGTTTTTCTTTATTTTCAGGAGTTTTCTGTCTTCTTAATTGCCAGAGCATTTCTCGCTTGCGTTTACAACATAACTTGATACCATTTGTTACCCAGTTTAGTTTCTTTCTAATAGGTATTCTAATTTTAATTGTGGGGAAACATAAATCGTAAAAAAGTTTAAATAAATTATTAAACTCATTAAAGGCTTCATCAGGGTCCAGACGTTCATAGACCTTTTTAAAAGAAAGATTATGTATAGCGTTTTTAAATTTGTTTATGTTTTCCATGCTATAATCTCGCTTGAGTGCGTACCAATGACTAATTGTGTAAGTTTTTTTAACTGGAATTTTCGCAATTTGTGCTGTGTGGTCAGATAAGGCCAACTCCAATACCATAGTTTATAAACGGTATGTACAGAATCTTATTTGTCACATGTTTTAGCGGGCGAAATATTGTTTTTTTTTAAATAGTGAAAAAATATATTTTTCAGTGGAAGACCTTTTTGATCCGTAACCCATTATTGTGATAACTTTTGTGTAGTACTTTCGGTAATATAGTAATTTTTGGCTTTTTATGAGGGAAATAATCAAAAATGTCTTTTCCCGCCCTAATTGGGGCAATAGGGATTGAGAGACTCTATGTCAGTAAAAACTACACCCTTGTTTCGAAAGGTCCGAGCAAGGCAGCGGTACCTCATTGCACTTGCTGCTTCTGGAAGAATTTTGGGCCAGTGTCCGGGATGCCATAAGCTTCCTTACTACCGACAGTAGTGTGATAACTCACATCAGATATTAGATGATTGGGATTTCGATGACGTCATAAGTCTTATAACTGGAAAGTATACATAGTTTGACAAGGATGGAAAATCCAACATTTTACTGTTGTGCCAATTAGTAGCACGGCAAGATCATCTGACCCACTCGGAGAATCTCCCCTTTTTCTGACTTAAGGAACACCTGGTTCTTTAAAGAGTTTTTTTCCATTTGATGATGACAAGAAGAGAACTTACCTATCCTAATATGCAGTCGTGCGGCGGGCATGTGCCGAGACCTGATCTTGGGCACTGCATCCAGTACGTGAAGAGCTAAGGAGGCCACTTCAGCAGCGTGTCGAGAACACCTTTCTGGTAGACCGCCCACCACCATGTAAGCATCGCCTATTGTTTCCACCTGCCAAAAGTTGGAAATGTTAATACATTAAGCGTGGGAGAGCCATCCTTCGACACGAATGAGCCGAATGCACCGGAGTGATACCACGGCCTCACAGAAAACCGGCATGAAGCACTAACGTTGTGTGTTTCGCCGTGTAAATTACCTGATCCTTGTTGCCCCATCCTCAATCCTCATATCTCTTATCCTTAAAGTCAAAAGTCAAAAGTCAAAATTATTTATTTCAATTAGACCCATACAGGCACTTTTGAACGTCAACACAACTTTAAAGATACAAAGTGTCAGTCTGTCGGTCAGTCCTCTTAGTGAAGCTATTCGCTCGTTCCAACGTGTAGATTCCGATGGAGAAGAACGAGCAAGAAACTCCATGGTTACTCTTTTAAAATCAGTGTCACATAAACATTCTTTGATACATTATTTAGTTAGTTTGAATATGTGAGAACAGTGTAACGCGTGTATACAGAGAAACATAAAAAGAAAATAACCTTAAGGACAATAGACAGTCCGGAGCTGACCAGTCCCAATTGACGGCGCCCGTTCACGAGCATGACACGTACACCAGCATCGCCCAACTCAACCATAATATAGGGAATCGAGCGATCCAGTGACCGTGCCACCGCCAATGTGACCTTTGAGTGAGCATGACAACTCCAAGCTGACATATGGACCGACATTCTGCTAGTCTATCTAATTTTAATAGGTTACAGGGCACTCACATTTACAAATTTATCAAGTTTAACAATAAAAATAGCATGGTAACAAATTTACAAAATCTAAGAACTTCCGTTCAAGCAAAGATCCACTGGAACATTATTTATATTCGTGTAGGTATATTATCCTGTGGAGCAGGACCAGCCCGTCTCCAAGCATCCTTATCCTCAATATAATCACTCAGTTTGTAATATGCTTTTTTACACAAAGTTTTCTTTACACATAATTTAAAATTTCTTTCATTTAATTGTTGTATTTCGCCTGGGATTTTGTTATAACACTTAACGCTGAATCCCATGAACGACTTGTGTACCTTTGCCAATCTAAATAATGGCTGACACAATCTATCTCTATGTCTAGTTTGGTAATTATGTCTGTCTGATACCTTATCAAATAATATTAAGTGTTTCCTAACATACATTATATTTTCATAAATAAACTGACCGGGCACAGTCATAATATTGATCTCTTTAAATTTATCTCTAAGAGATTCGCGAAGCCTTAGGTTGTAAATTGCTCTGATTGCACGCTTTTGCAAGACAAATGTAGACTCAATGTCAGCAGCCTGTCCCCACAACAAGATGCCATACGACATAATGCTATGAAAGTAGCTGAAGTACACCAGTCTTGCAGTGTCCACATCTGTTAGCTGTCGGATCTTCCAGACAGCAAATGCTGCAGAACTCAACCGTCCTGCCAGAGATGTGATATGGGGCCCCCATTGTAGTTTTTCATCTATGGTTATACCCAGAAAAGTAGTCTGTTTTACAAATTCCAATTTCTTGCCGTTTAATAATATGTCACATTCGTTACTTTTTACATTTGGTAAACTGAATCGTATACACTTTGTCTTTTTGCCGTTTAGAACTAAATTATTAACTGTAAACCAGTTATGAACCTTCGTAATAGCATTATTTACTTCGTCATAATAACTTAAATCCCTAATAACCTGCAAGAGTAATATTACGAGCATCCGTGGGCTGTGCTGATTGCTTACCATCAAGTAACCCGACTGCTCGTAGCAAAATATCGTATCGTATCGTATTTTCAATGAATTATATTGGGATGAAAAACCCCATGATAATGAAAGGCAAAACTATTTACCAAACGCCGACCAGACATTTTCAAATACCCCATAACTTTTTGAATGATTCAAAAATATCTAAAGTTGTTCCATTGGTACGGTCTTAATGGTTAGGTTAACGGTAAAAGTGCAATAATTACACTAGCTTGTCCGATCGTGGATATAAAAAAAAATCCATAAAATTCTATTCACTTACCTTATAAACGTTGTAGTAAGATATGATGGCGTCGCAGCAGGTATACAGGTCGTTCAGAATCTCCACCACCTAAACAAATAAGAACAAATTTATTACGTTTGAAATTGGAAGCAGTCGATAAGCATGGAACCTAAGGGGCTCACTTCAATATGACCTTTTCCATATGGTGTTAATATTAATATACTATTTGCGCTTCTTTAGACACCACTGACAAACGGTGAAGGACAAGATCGAAAGAAAACTTGGACTTAGACTTAGTATAATTTCTAATTATATGCTTGAAATTGCCAATCCGCTTTGAGTAATGTGGTGTTTAATGTTTAGTGGTCTTTGCTCAAACACAATGAGCACTGGTGATGGTGATGATGTGAAATTGGAACAATACATATCGTAGTATAGGTAGATGTATAACGAACTAGCGGTTAGAAATTAGGATCTCTATAAATTCTATTCAATATTTCACACCACACTAACAAGAACGTCTAATGAAGCAGCAAAAAGACGGTCGAATGAATAACCTCCACCTTTTTTAGATGCAAAATATTATAAAGTCACAACAAAAATCTTTTGTAGTCTATGTACCTACGCCCTTAATATCAAATACATATTTTTACAGGCCTTGGAAATGGAAGTTTTTCGTCGAAGCCGAATTAATAATAATTGACTGATCGAGTGATTTCTGGGAAAGTTCGTGTGGAAATTTGTGAAAATTTGGCGAAACGCTTAATGCCCATTATTACTCGTGTTCGTAGAATTCGTGATGTTCAATTCCCTTATGTGGAGGACAATGATCATTTTTACTGGAGATGTAAGCATGATAGAATATATTGTCCCTGTCATCGAAACTCCATGACCAGACTTTTTTTTTGTCAGAGAAAAATCATTTAATGACTTCTCCCGCCCAGGATAATTCGAGAGAGAATGTCAGACTCTTACTGACCAAAAATCCTCCGGTCCTGCTCTTGCTTTAAGCCGAGGCCGCGGTGCTACAACCCCCATAACGTACACCTGGCTGATATGATATTTAAAAACTTCTTACAAAATGTATTATGATATAAAAGGAATAGGTGTAACCTGTATTACAACATACCTTCGGTTATACGCGTGAACGGCTAGACCGATTTGGATGATTACGTTTTTAATATGTTTGTTTTTATTAGGAATTCTAGCAAATTTGAGGAGGAAACAGTTTCAGTTTCATTTGAAAATCTAACGCCCGGTTTCCGAAAGGCCGATCAATGTTAAAATCAATTTAATCTCTTGTCAAGTCATCTGATTGGTTGACCGAATTATCAACAACCAATCAGATGACTTAAGAAGAGATTTAACAGGAGATTAGTTAATTTTAGCGTTGACTAGCCTTTCGGAAACCGGGTGTTAATGTATGAATAGTAGAAAAAAAAATGAATTCCATGTTTCCTTGTTTTGAAGAAAAAATAAGAAAACGTTTTTCTTGTAAGTAGGTACTTATTACACCATTCTTTTCATGGTCCGCATAAAAAATTGGCCTTCGACCTACCAGACGTTACCGTATCACAAACTTCTCACAGTACGACCATTTATTACAATTAATGACTTACTGACATGTACGAGTATCAAGTGCGAAACGTTTAAATTCAAGTCACAACGGGACTCTTATTCGTTGAGTAACTCGTTGTTTTCAATAAATTTAGTTTGTCTCATGATGAAGAGTAGCTATACTTATCATAAATATCATTTTGCATTCAATTTGGAATCACAATAAATATATTAAGTATAATAGGTAACCTATCTTGATAATAAAAAAATATTTCAATATCAGATGAAATTGGACAGGAGTAGATATTGTTTGAATTTGAAAATAGAACTAGGTGCCTAAATCAACTTTCCTTTTGTGATAATATTGTCTTCATATATTTGCAATCAAAGGAAAATATAACAAATTAATATCTTATTATTTGCTTTCTTTATAAGGTTACATTATTGTCCAAATGTTTATTTAAGTTATTAAATTATCACATTTTAGATGGAATTGCAATTAATTTAACTTTTTTTATTCATCATTTTATTTATGAACGGTTTTTTATGCTATGGCAACCCGTAATTAAGGCTATTTAAATAGATAATACAAGTCTTATCTTGTTTAATATAATCACAAACAATATTCCGCTATGTTCTATCGTGTAAGTGAGGTTTCCGGAGGCCGATACCTTTCTCTTCCCTTCCTCAATCCCCATTTTTTTCATATCTATACATCAAAATCTAATAATATATTATACTAGCTCCTCTCACGCGGTTTCACCAGCTGCTCTGCTTCAATTGATCGTAGTGGGATGTTTTATAGCCTACAGCACTCAGGAACATTGTAGCTACCTATCAGTGAAAGAATTTTCGCAATCCGACCAGCGGTTCCAAAGATTACCCCCTACTGTACATAACTTAAAAACTTACAAATTTTACCCATTTATAACATTAGTATAGATAATATAATCATCAGATCTCTCTTACAACGCCTTTTTTTGATGATGAATATCGTTAAAAGTTTTCCCGGGCACCCTGGTTTTGGCGGACAGCAGTGCGACTCACTGAATAAAACCACCCCGTTCGTTTCCTGATCAGGGCCAGGTCTAGATATCGTCATTAGTGGACCCAGTTCATCTATTTAATAACTATTAATGCATTACAGATTGCATACCTTTTGCGCTGCTTATTTACCAAAATTACTCAATCATGCTCATCAACAGACAATAAAGGTCGAACTTCCGCGATTTTCAGAGAGACTATTGAGAGATGAGAACTCAGGCTTGGTTTACGACGCGTGCGCCTACCAAGAACCAATAGACCACCACAGACAGGGCCTAACAGAGCTGATGTTCAGCCAGGGTTACAGGAGAGGGAATGGGAGGATTTTTGTTTAGTCTGACACTCCTTCACGTCTTACTCAGGGCAAGAGAAGCCATTTGATGATATTTCCCTCACAAAAAAGGCTTGCTAGATTTAGACTAAATTATAAATATCCTTACCTGCATAGGAGTATTGGTGGCCGCTAGCTTGGTGAACCCAACGATGTCACTGAAATATATTGTGACACAGTCAAAGCTCTCTGCTTGCACCCTTTCTCCACGCTTCAAGGCTTCCGCCACGGTCCTGGGAAGAGAAAATAGATGTCAGAAAGTAATTAAGCCAGATTATGACGTAGGATAACGTCATAATGTAACGTTTTTCAATTCTCAAAGGTGTAGGAAGAGCTGCACTTATACCTATAAAACATACTTAGTCTTGCCAAGAGTTCTAAGTGTGGGAGAGCCATGCTTCGGCGCAAATGGGTAGGGTCGCCTAGAGCCATACAACGGCCTCACAGAAAACTGGCGTGAATCAACATTTACGTTGTTTTGACGTGTGAGTGAGGTTGCAGGAGGACCAATCCTTGAATTGAAGATGGGGGGAGCATCTTTAATCTCCAAATCACCTATACTTAAATTCCTAATAACCAACCGAGGTCGGCAACGCACTTGTTTTACTCCTTTAGTGTAACGAGTGTCCTTGGGTGGCACTGATTGCTTACCACCAGGTAATCTGTCTGCGCGTTTGCAGACCTATGAATACAAACCACCAATCCTTCCCCTCCCCATCACTCATTAATCCTTAAATGTCCGAAACCCTAATTCCTAAAAGGCCGGCAACGCTATCATAACTCCTTTGGGAGGTTGGGAGTATATGAGAAACGTTAATTGCTTACCATCAGGAAATGCTTCTGCTCGATCACATAAAAAAGTTTTGTTATAAGACACAAATGTATTTGCACAATTCATAGTTCATTCACTGCTTTGTGCTAAAATCCCTATATTAGAAATATTTTACTATTAAAAAAGTAAGCTGTATAGAAATTATTCGAAGCGTGTCATTAAATTTTGAAACCAATGAGTCGGAAAATAAAGAACAAAATTACATTTCGATACATTTTGACGTTTGAATTTGAATTTGGAATTTTGCGGTTTGGACTTATATGCATTTGAAAAAAGAACGGTCTAGACAACAATAGCATATTTGCAATTCAAATAAGTTCTTAGAATTATCATTTGTATAAATATTCAAATAGATTATCAGAACTGTAAAAAGGATTTGACGAAAAATTATTACACGTGAAAAAACTTAGGTACCATCAGGTAATCCGTCTGTTCGTTTGCCGGTCTATTACATAAAAAAAAAGTTCACATCCCGGGATATCGTCACATAGCATCATCAGCCTCAGCCTATAAGCTACCTACCTACTGTTCACACACGGAGAAGGTTTGAGCATGAAGCACCATACATATACAAACATATACATGTATAAATACATAATTATGTAGGTACCTACTCACGGGAGATTGGTGAATTTTAAACTTATAATTAGAAGTTATTAAATGCAATGGGCGGACATATCTTACAGGGCGATCTCTTACAGACAACCTTAAAATATTTATTTATTTATTACCTTGGCAACATCCTATTGAGCAGGTCATCAGTTCTCCTCTTCTCCTGCAGGAGTTGTTCCGTCCTGGCTGCTACTATAGCTTCCAAGTTCGAAGCGTACTTCTCCATCATCGCCAGCATATTGTCAAATATGTTGGTTTTCCTGTATAAGGCACAAAAGTGACAAAATGATTATAATAAGAAAAAAATATCTGTAAAATAAGTAAATCTATACTATTATTATAAAGAAGTAAAATTTGTAAGTTTGTTGAACGATTGTAAGTTTGTATGTAGGGGGTAATCTTTGGAACCGCTGGTCGGATTGCCAAAATTATTTCACTGATAGATAGCTACAATGTTTCTGAGTGCTACAGACTATAAAACATCACGCTATGATTAAATGGAGCCGAGCAGCGGGTGGAACCGCGCGTAAGTAGCTAGTTGAAAATAAAGACAACTGAAACTTGAAAACGTCGATTGCATTCAAATCGTAACTGCGCTAGAAAAATCCTCAGTACTGATAGTGTAAAAAAAATACTGTATTATAGTTTATAGAATATATTTCTATTAAATTACAATACGTAGAAAAATATCGTTGAATTCATTTTTTTTTTCATTTAGGTACTATAGATAAGCTACATGTTTTCGGACAAATATTGCAGTTTTTTTTTACTTTTCATAACGCTTTTATCCCATACTTTCCTATCGGCTTATGTCGCAGTTCAAAATAGTTTTTCTTGATTCTTTAAAATTTTTATATAGTGAAAGTGGGTGTTATAAGTGAATAAGAGTCTCGTTGTGACTTGAAACTATTTCCTATAATTTTTCTCGGTTCATTCACGTGATTAATGAATTATTTTCAATAAAGTTAGTATTGCTCACAATAGTTTCATAAAAAAAATTAATTTCACCTAATATTTGTGTCCAAGTACTTACATGCCCGCATGCATATCCTTCAATCTAACGCGAACCAGTCTGAGATCGGGTCTACGTTCAGGTCGCTCACTCCAGCAAGCGTTGAGCACCGCCAGGACAGCTGGTCGTGCCACCAGCCCTCCCAATGGTGGCCGGAATAACACCCCGCCTATGGGATGCCGGACACGACCTATGATTTCTGTTGAAAGAAAAGTTTTAAAATATCCGTAATCATTTAAAAAAATGGTTAAAAATAGTTTCAGCAATTCGCGCCTTTTGTAAATAAATTTTATAATAATCCACAATAAACATTACTTTTCCTTTATTAATTTAAAAATTCAAATTTGGAACGCAAAGAATCATGCCAGCATGCTTGAAATTACATGCCAATACATCGTCAAGTTAATAAAACCTATTTCTTCATTGAAGTAGAGAAAAAATCGAATGAGCCCGTTTTTTATTGCATAGGAGTGTGTGTGTGTGTTCTTTTCTATTTATAATTTTCTGGGCGTCACTTTCATATAAGTACCCGATAAAGTTATGTGATACATACTTATTGTAAATTACTTTCTATATTCAATTTTATCTGGTATATAGCAGATGTGCAGACGTTGGGCCCTATCAATTAGAATATAATGGATTTATGAATGACTTACGATAATAATTATAGATAGTCTGAGGGTCTAGTTAGTTCAGTAATAGCTTTTACACACATAATTTTGAAGTGTCAAAACATAATTGAAGTCAGATAAGACAGTCAATTTTAAGAAAACCAGTTTATCATGGTCTCGATTAGTATGCTCTTTCAGCACAATCAACAGCCAGTTTATATTGGCGCTACGTAGCTTGGTATGGAGCCGTTGTGTACTTACCTAATTTTAACGAAGTTTGAACATTTTCGAAGCAAGCTATATAATACCATTGATGTACCATAACTTATGCATGTACATCTAAATATCATGTCATTAAAATTCCATCTTATTAAGGCACTTAATTGGAGATTATAATATGACTTTTCAAAAGGAAAAAATGTTAATAATTTAGAGAGTTGTAGCGGCACTATCACGTCGCTACATTACTTAGATACGATAGAGATAAGACATACATGTTAATTGTTGCACGTTTGTTAGGATAGCTAAATCTGAAAATCTCACGCATCTTCTTAGTATATAAGCACCAGCAATTAAAGTAATAAACAGACCTTAACCATCTACAGTCTCATTATTTACCTTGCCACGAAGTCTGGCAAATTGGTGACCCGACGAAGAACAATCAACATGACTCATTCACCCTGCAAATCAAGCATCAGCCGGAACCGCCATTTTATCCCGTATTCCGGAATTTTGGAGGGACCAACCCAGATTATAGTTTAAGCAACTAGAAGCCATAGTAGCACCACAGAAGCAAGGAGACGATTACAAGTACTATACGGTCATTGCAAAACTGCCAAAAGAAGAAATAATACAGGTTAGTGACCTCATTACTTGCCCACCGCCAATAGAAAAGTACAAGGCTATCAAAGAACGCCTAATCAGTTGCTATGAGGAATCAGACCAACGTCAGCTCCAAAAATTATTGTCTGAAATGGATCTCGGCGACCAGAAACCATCACATCTTCTGCGCAAGATGCGGACCCTGAGTAACGGAAATATCAGCGACGAAACCATCAAACTTCTATGGTTGAGGCTTCTGCCACCATCAGTGACTTCGGTTCTAGCAGTCACAGAAGACACAGATGTGAACAAGATGAGCCAGATCGCGGACAAGATATTAATAAATTCAACACGTACAGAGGTGTCAGCTGTAAACGGAAACAAATCTGGCGACGATACAATGTCATGCATACTAGCACAGTTAGCAGAAATGCAATTGGAACTAAATGCAATTCAGCAAGGTCAAAAAAAACTATCGACGCAGCACTCAAAGTTATTCCAATCGTCGGCATTTCCTACCACAGTCGAGTTCAAGAGAAAGAAGGCACTTTTGTTTTTACCATGGAAGATTTAAAAAATATGCACAAAAGTGTGTTCAACCTTGTGATTGGAAACAGGATCTCAACTCAAGGAAACAGGGAAACTAATTGAAGCACGGACAACGGCGGAACTCTGTGCTATTCACCCGTCCAACCGCCTCACTATTACCGACCGAAAAAGTGGTATGAGATTTTTGATGGACACGGGAGCAAATATTTCAGTTATTAGCAAGCCACAGAGACATTCACTAATACAAGATGAACAATGTATACTTTATGCCGCCAATGGTACAAAAATTAAGACATATGGTGAAAAAACACTCTCTTTAAACTTCGGGCTACGAAGAAACTTTGTATGGAACTTTGTCATCGCCGATGTAACACAACCGATTATTGGAGCAGATTTTTTAGAGCATTATAAGCTATTAGTCGATATAGCTGGTCGAAAACTCATAGATAGGGTAACTGAGCTGACAACGCCCGCAACCCTGATCAAATCGACGCAGCAAACAATCCGCACTATTAACATTGAGACGAATCCACGCATTACTCAACTATTAAATGAATACGAGAGAACAATGGGCAACCAAAGCTCCAAAGATCAAATCGTATATAACTCCGACAGTTGCCTTAATCAAAATGAAGCCGACCATCTCAAAAGTCTTGTCCTGGAAGAGCTACGGTGGACGAGAAACATTGCAATTGGACAAATCCTCATCACAATTGGCATCCTTCTTCTCTACGGAATACTGAAGACCTTAGACAGAAGAGTGAAAACAATAGCAAGAAACAATCAGCACAAATGCAGTGGATAGTTCATCGACTGCCGCCGCCGTCACAACAAAGGCAGCAGTTTTTATTTCCTTCGAATTAGCAACAATGACATTACATTACGCATAGGATGTAATTTATCAGCAAGGTTAAGTTATTATATAATTAGGTACATACTAATTTTTTTCAATTTATATGTTAATTATTTTTAAAAGGGGGGAGTATATGTAGCGGCACTATCACGTCGCTACATTACTTAGATACGATAGAGATAAGACATACATGTTAATTGTTGCACGTTTGTTAGGATAGCTAAATCTGAAAATCTCACGCATCTTCTTAGTATATAAGCACCAGCAATTAAAGTAATAAACAGACCTTAACCATCTACAGTCTCATTATTTACCTTGCCACGAAGTCTGGCAAAGAGTTTTTAAAGGCAAAAAATATTTTTTTTAAGGAAAATTATGTTAAAATGTCTCTAACGAAAAGAGTCATTATTATCACACAAGGTATGCTTGGAAGACATCGGTCTTACGTGAAGATCAAAAGTATATTTAATTTTCAGTATTCATACATATGTAAATTGTACATGTATCTATGTAAAAATAGGTCTTTTATAAGTAGAGGATTCCATACCTAACAGTAAAAACAATATTTTCCTCAGAATATTGGTTTTTATTCAACCCAACCAGTATCAAATAAATGTTTTTTCATTCTCTACATAGCTTTAATCTATATACAATGGAATGCGTTCGACATGAATTCACTGTATTATAATTTTTATTTCATTCAAATTCAAAACTCTCAGTATTTTTATAAAATCGGTTTAAAAGAATATTTACTTTTAAAATTTTTTTGGTAAAAATATAAAAAAACTGCATAGACAACAGCCGATTTTTTTAAGAACTTTAATAAATATTATAATATAAATTAATATTACTACTTACTGCCGCACTCAGAGCTCGTCAATTAATGATAAATAAACTTAAATTCTTAAAGAAGTTTTCTTACCAGCATTTGTAAGGTTTGTGTCTCCCCAAGGCCCGTTTCTTCCAAGGATCTCATAGAGTATGATGCCGAAAGAATACACGTCTCCCTTCTGTGATCCTCTAGGGTTTGGGTTGGGATCTCTCAGGAGTTCTGGCGCCCTCCAGAGCATACGACGCTCCATGCGGAGGGCGTCTTCTGCGTCGGAGCAGCCATCTAGCAGAAAAAAAACATGTCAGTTAATAGCCTAGACCTCATTTACGAATGTTGTAGTCGGTAGGGACGCGGTAACAGAATAATTGAAGCAGTGTAGTGTTATGTTTCAAGATACTAACATAAGTTATTTTTAATACTACTATTGGTTACAATAAAATTCACGGCTAACCAATATAGTTTACAATTCAAGTAAGTGGGGTTTCCTAAATGTTGAGGATCATTTTCTATCCAATAACACTATTATTTTCAGGCACTACAAATTGCACATCGCGCGTGTAAAGTTTTGGATACTGCGAAAAGAAAATCCCAACGTACAATTAGGCAGTAGCCAGCCAGGTATTATTATGTCGCCTGAAGGATATCATTTTGTTGATCTTAAAGAACTTTACGTCTTTGTTCTCTAAACACCTCTTTGGGCGAAAATAAACAGCAATGCAGAACTCTCTCACTTATGAGATAAAACTTAAAACAAAACTTGGCTAGAATAAAGGATTCTGAGATAATAAAAGTGAGCGTCGTGTTCCAACTTACGAAACTACAATCACTCGATAAAATAAATAGGTACTACATTTCTAAGTAAAAATAGGTAAGTGCGAAAAAGTTTTATTTTGACCTAAATACCTAGATATTATTGGCGGCCAATGACCGAGTTTTATGCTTCCCGGGTTCCGAGTTTCAACCTGTATGAATCGTAATGGGTTTACAATGGTTTTATTTGTGAACAAATCTTTTATGTTTTACTGAATGTTTTGTTGAATTCTGCGTAACACAGTTTTTGGGGTACCAGGTTTTGAAGGTGTAGAAATATGTTGATACATTTACTTTATTGTAGGTATGTCAAACTTTATATCTTTTATCTGTGGTTAATCGTTTAGAATGATATGAAAGTCAAGAAAAGTCTTCTTGAGTAAATAAGATCAGAAGGGCAGAGTTCACCATGATATAGTCTGTGACAGGGTGGCATTGATAATGCGAAAGTTAAATAAAATGATACCTACTGTAATATCAATACCTACTATACCTCAATTTTGCCTATAGTATTTTGGAATAAGGATTTTTATAGTGGTCCTTAATGTAACTAAAAAGTTAAGTCAAGTGATAAACGAAAATAAAGTTAATGTACTTCCACATTTGATTACGCATTGTTTTAATGGGCAGCGTGATTAGCATGATTTTATGTATCGAAGCCAAGTTGCCAACCTTGAAAAACAAGTTGGTTGTTCAAATATTACCGAACAAACAAAAACAATATACTCACATTTTAAATTATGTAATCCATAATCAGCTATTTGGAGTACCCATCGGCTGTCCACTAAACAGTTACTGGAGGTCAAGTTTCCATGTGATATCAGGGCTGAGTCATGAAGGTACATCAGTCCTCGAAGAAGGTCAGCTACAAGGCTGGCGACGAACATGTCATCTAAATGAAGGTCTCTGTCTGCAAGGACCCTGGCTAGGGAACCTCTGGAGCAGTAGGCTGAGACGATGCATGCTGAGCCACTTTCCACGCAGACTCCAACGAAAGCCGTCAGATTTTCATGGCGAAGCTCACGGATCTGGATGGATAGGGAAATATTTTGTTATATTATTCATACACATTATTATTTTATGAACAAGAATTAGTTATGGGATAATATTAAGTTACGTATTAGTTAGTAAGGTATTAGGTATTAGTTAGTTATTTTTGGCATTTTTTGTTTAGATTTTTTAAAAACAATAACTTACTGTTTTGCTCATGAATTGTAATTTCATAAAGTCACTTCACGGGAGTAAGCCGTTTCAATAAATTAAGTACGTCGTACGAAGCTCTGTAGCTCTCTATTAAAGCGGATGATGTTTTTAAGTCATCATCAGTCCTCTAGTATCAAGGTCGCATGGTACGCGGCGCCGTGAACGTTTGGACTAATTCTCACTCACTGGACATAATTATGTCCTGAAGCCGTAGTCCCGTCTAGATAGATTATACTACAGACTTATTAATAACTAAGGTAACAATAGCTTTTGACCTCAGAGTGTCAGAAGGCACAGGCAGGATATTTTAGGAGCCTGGTCAACAGCTAAAAATACCTTGGATTACATAAATCTTACTGAAAGATTTCGGGGATCCCCTAAATCTTTTGCAATAGATTCTTGCGCAAAGATGATAGATTTTGAGCTGAAAAGTGGATAGCAAAACACACAGAGACATACACGTAAACACACGCACACACACTAAGGCAAACTTGCGACCTGCGAATTAATTTTGTTTCGTGGACAAAAATAAAAACATTATACGTAGTACTTCTATCCTAATCTAATCAAATACTTGAATGAAATAAACATATTTATGTACGAACGAGGCATGGGATAAAAATACATTCAAGGTCCCATAGTATTTGTGCTATTTCCCATAAAATTTAGGGCTCCCATAAAACCTTATAGTCCGACGGTTGTAAAGAACGAACTGATTACATTATAGATAGGATTAAACGATATTTTGTTTTTGCCTAGGACAATAATATAAAAATAAAAATATATTACATATTTTTTCTACTGCTACCAATTACATTATTTTTATAATTAGTGTCACTTTTAATTTACAAATTTCCAGTGGTTTTATGGGATAGCTCGGCAAATGATTGCTCGGATTACTTGATGGTGGACACACGCGACATCGAAGAGTTGGAACAAGTAATGCGTAGCTAGTATTCAGCCGTGTTTGGGATTAGGATTTTGTTGATTGTGGGATTCGGCGATAAGGTGTGGAGTGGAGAGGATAAGGCATTCTCTAAACCTTACTCACATGGAAACACAAGAGGAGCGTTGTTTCACGCCAGCTTTCTGTTGGACTGATAATATGGTAATGGAAGCATTAATCCCCCATATTTTATATTTTAAGTAGCGATTCGCCCCGGCGTGGCACGGGTGCAATACTGATACAAAAACTCTCTGGTATAAACAAGATGATATACTTGTAAACCTTTCTATTCAATCATTCTATTAAAAAAATCCGTTGCGTAGTTTAAAATAATTAAGTATATATAGGGATACAGGGACAGAAAAAGCGACTTTATTTTCAAGTATGTAGTGATAAAACATTCAACTCTAAATTCAAATAACTACATGTTAATATTCACCTTGTGAAAAATGCATGCAAAAATCTTTAAAGCTCAAATTCCCATTTCGCTAACGGCATTTTTCGGACCTTGACAGGTCACTCAATATCTCGCTATTGAAAAATGCCGTTTGAACTGAGATCGATGTGTGTTGTGTACATACCTACCTATGTGTGTACATATATACGTTTCAATGTTGAAGGAGATAAGTCTATCCCTGACCCAGATTCTGAAAATAAACACTAAACAGAAAAGAAAATATTAAATACCAGACAAACGCACGTTGCATCGAACATATGTATGTGTCCACTACATAGTATAAAACAAAGCCGCTTTCTTTGTCCCTACGAGTATATCCCAATATGTGCTTAAATCTTTAAAACTACTCAACAGATTTTAATGCGATGTTTTAATAGATAGTGTGATTGAAGACGAAAGTTTATATGTATAACGATATCTATAGAAAAAAACAATTAACATGGATCATATGACAAATCTCCTGGGACAAAAGAAGTTTATATTCCTGATAATGTTTTTGTTTTATTGTATGGTATCTATTAGAACTACTTACAATTGGATAGTTTCCTAGGTGAAAAATAAATGAATTCGACTTTTCAATACAATAAAATACTAGCTACTCTCGCGCGGTTTCACCCGCTGCTCGGCTCCATTTAATCGTAGCGTGATGTTGTATAGCCTATAGCACTCAGGAACATTGTAGCTATCTATCAGTGAAAGAATTTTGCCAAACCGACCAGCGGTTCCAAAGATTACCCCCTACATACAAAGTTACAAATTTTACCTCTTTATAATATCTATTAGTATACATAGATTGAAAAATAACTCTACTTTCATTCATCGACCGATCGATACAGTAAATATTAGATACTTTTTAGCTAATTAAAAAAAACTATTTCACGTAAAATTACTATGAAGTGATAATTCTGTATTTCATACATAGAAAAGTGTAGTTTTTTAACATTTGGATTAAGGTATTGAATTTGACTAGTTGGAAACTACCGCATTGTTTACACTAATAAACACAGAAGCTATAGACACATTCAAAATTAACACAGTGCAACAAATATTTACTCGTAGGTACAAGTAGATACTTCACAAACAAAAACAAAATGAATAAACAATATAAAATCCAAATATTGAATTTTATGTAAAAACTTTTTTCTCCTCTCACCTGTTTCAATTCCTTTTTGATAGCTCTGGTGACGTCAATGCTCTTCTTCTGTAGCCGTTTGATAGCAACCACGTTCCCTTTGTACATGGCTATGGTGGTGTGAGCTCGCCTCGTCTCCATGTCATGCTGCATTGAGGTCTGGTGAAAGAAAAATGGTGAATAAATAAGGTACTAAATTAAGATAAGTTGCATAATTTGTCAGGGAGAGTAATTTGGGAACGTCAATATAAATTTTGCTCAGTCTTTCCCTACGAAGATAAGGCACGGTAGCGCCACGGGCCCCTAAAAATCTGTATTTTCTGCCAGTAAGAATCTACATCAACATACAACCAACCATTATCAACTCGAAATACTGAAGTCCAGCGCGTTCTGGGGAAACGTTTTCGATCCCGTAACGAAATAAATCAGGCGACATTATTTGAGGAGAAGAAAACGAAGTTATATAGTTCCCACTTCACTCAGTACATTTATTGAAAGCACAAAAAAGACTGCAGGAGAAGCTCAGTCATTATTCACGAACAAAGTAGCGGGCAGGAGTTTGTGTGTCAATACAAAAATCAGTATAACACTTTGTCCGCCTTAAATTTTTGTTTAACTCCTATTTATTTATTATTCACTAATATTACAATTACCAAAACAACTATCAATTAGTTTTGCTTATTATTTACTCAATTGAAAGTCTATATCCGGTGTACAAAACAACTGCCTTTTATTATTTATTTACATTACCTTTCCTAAGGGAAACACACTTACTTATTTATAAGAAAAATAAACATTCATCAAAAAAGCCAAGACCAATTTAATATCAAAACGCAAGGAAATTACATTCAAAGAGAAAATCATTTCGGACACGAAAACGTCCGTTTAAATAAATTGAAAATTCAACCAGTTCTAGTTTTCGAGCGGACAATAATACTTATGTACAATGTGTCTGAAAATACATTGAATGTCCCAGAATATCCCATTTTAAAGATAAATTAATGGCTTACTGTTTGCTTTTAAACAATTGAATGTGAATAATTTATTCCTTCATTTGTAGCCTTTGATGTAATACTCACTTCACTATTAATAAAATAAGCTATTTAACTGGTTTTTTTTATAGTTGCTCCACACTAGAATTTTCTCCTGTGTCGTGGGTGCGTTTACAAACATACAATTCCACATACACACCACACCCAGACCCGGAACAACAATCTGTGGATCACACAAAGAGTTGTTCCGTGCGGTAATCGAACCCGCGACACGTTGCGCGGCAGTCAGTTGCTCAGCCACCGCGCCAACCGTGGTCAAAACCATTCTGAGTCGTTTTTTTATGTGATAGACCGACAAGCGAGCAGACAGGCTAGCTGCTAGTAAGCAATCGGCGGCGCCTATGTGCAACGCCTTTTAGGTATTAGGATTTTGGAGATGTAGGCATCCCTCCGATGGGGGAGAAAAAGGGTTGGGCCTCCGGTGGGTAAACTCGCTCACACGCCAAAATATAAAGCTGTAATTGTTTCATGCTGGATTCCCGATTGAGGTCGTGGTATTTACTCAGGTCGAGCCGACCTATTCGCATGGTTTTTACTCGCTACGTTTTATGTATTCAATAAAATATTGAGTTATTCTTACTTTTTCCTAGCTGCTCTCGCGCGGTTTCACCCGGTGCTCGGCTCCATTTACTCGTAGCGTGATGTTTTATAGCCTAAAGCACTCAGGAACATTGTAGCTATCTATCAGTGAAAGAGTTTTGGAAATCCAACCACTGGTTCCAAAGATTACCCCCTACATACAAATTTAACCTCTTTATAATATTATAGTATAGATGTGATGAGCATCTGACCATCTAGTGATAAGCGGCTGTAGCAATCGCCGTCATTGGAGGACACTCACAACATCAGAGAAGTTGGAAGTTCTTAGCCAGACTATTGGGTTTTGAGGAAGAGGAGAGGGCTTCCCAGTTCCTCTCGCTATGAACCATGGCCTCGACTAAGGCCGGGCGCGAGGCCTATGCCGCCCTCGATCATTATCATAAAATAAGGGCTTTGAGGAATTAAAACAACAGCGTTTTAGCTTTTCCGAGGTTAGGAATACGAGAATTGGGAAATGGGAGAAGGGGGAACAGCAGTGTGATTCTGTAAGACTTCATTCTAAACTTCAAATCTGAATCCGCCGTGAGTAGTAGTACACTAGCGCTACACTTGCGAGTTGAACTAAATTGACAGCATCATTTTGAAAGATAAAGTAAGAAATGACGTTAAAAGTGGCATTCTAAAATTTAATTTCCCCGTCACTTCGATGCTCACTTCGCACTCGAACACGATTCGAAATCAAACAAATTTTATAGAATCGACGTGCAGGGAGGATTAGAAATCTGGTAAATTTAATTATACGGTGAATTACAAAGCTAGCGCGTTTTTACGCTGATTCCTTTATGGCTGTGGTATTATTCTGAAGGAGTCGATTGGCCCACTCGTGTCCACTTACCGAAGCATGGCTCTCCCACAATAAAATTATGTTCATACATGAAGGTGCCTGATTAATTCATGTGGCACATAGTACAAAAGCGTAAAGTGCACGAGTGGCGACCAAGGACCGGAAAACGTAGTGTGGGCAGGCTTCCCACTAGGTGGACCGACGACATCGTTAGAGTCGCGGGGAGCCAATGGATGCAGTCGGCAACTTGTCGTTCGACGTGGAGGGCTAAGGGGGAGGCCTTTGTCCAGCAATGGACGTTTTCAGGCTAATGATGATGATGATGATGATGATGATGATAATGGTAGTACATACAATATAGAGCGTGCTTTGTACGTTCTATAAGTATACGCAAAATAGAAAAATATGCGGAAATACGCCCACAGTAATATCCGTTTGGCGACAGTTTTCCTTAGCACACGTGAATAGTGGTACAACGGTCTATCAATTCTTCTGGGAATTTACTAGATTTGAACAAACCCAAAATAGCTACACTTTGAGCACGTCCACATTATGACCTACTTTGAAATTTTCTCGCACAAAAGCGGTCGCTACTACAGACTTTCGTCTATCCTTTTTTGTCAAGTAACTTTAATAAATTTGCAAGTTTATCTCAAAATGTTAGTATAACTTGATATGCTGTTGACTGTAAGTGATCATTAGCAAGAATAGTGAACCAAAAAATAAGTGCGTAAATTCTTTGATGTTCTTCGTTCAAATAGAGTTAAGTTAAGTTAAGCTTAATCCAGATTACATTTTACAATTGAAACTCATTAATCAAAGTCAAAGTCAAATCATTTATTACTATAAGAACATGATAATACAAACAAAGGTTTGAAAATAAAAAAGAAATTGTCTGTCGATCAGTTCTCTAGTGAAGTTATTGGCACGTTCTAAAGTAAATTATATGGTTACTCATTTTTTTAATCAGTTTCATGTAAATTCCTTGTTACTGTTATTGCTATGATAAATACGTACTGATACGTACATAATTTTTAAAAATGCACCTATTATAATATTATTAAATTTAATATATTTCTTGAAATATTTTACAAAACCCGAAAATTACTTAATATTTGCTTGGCAGTCGCACTAGGAGACCAATTTTTTAACATTTTCTTTCTTCAAAACCAAAGTCAAAGTCATTTATTTCAATTAATCTCATAAGACGGCAGTTTTTGTATAGAGAAAAATGGTCTGTGTGGAGGGCACAAAGTGTTGCAGACAAAATCATAAATATCAACTACTATTACTTGTTTTTTTGTTAGGGAAAAAACATCAAATGACTTATCCCGCCCAGGGTGAGTTAAGAGGAAGTGTCAGACTCTTACTGACTAAAACCCCCCGTTCCATTTCTTGCTCTAGGCCGACGCCGCGGTGCCTCATTGCACTTATCCCGCAAACCAAGCTAAACATCAGTCCTATAGAGACCCGTCTAGTATTACCTAAACCTGCTACATTAGATTACTCAAGCCTTACCTAACGTACATCGAATCTTGTTAATTGGCCTCACTAACCTTGACATCGTTTTGCAAGCCAATCTCTGGGTTTAGGCATAAGCATATAATTAGACCTCAAAATGGATAGATCAGTGGATAACAATAATAATTATATAATGAAATTAGGCAAGCTTCGTTAGGCTATTGTGGATTTTGATAACAATTGGGGAGTAAACTACACCTGATTAAATTGTTCATGTGGAATGTAAAACAAATTTCCGGACTCTTAGGCGGTTTTGCCATAGAAACTGGAAACAAATATAACAGCTCACTTATAGACCTTATAGTATTTTTTCTGGTGTGTGACTGGCCTGCTCTCGGTTATAAAGTCTCTTTTGTGCCTTTAGGGCACTGTGGACTGTGGTATGTCCTTCTATTTCCTGCATTCACTGCGGGAAGTGGGAACTATTTTGTATTTTCTTGTTCTAATTCATTTTGCTGTGGGACCGAAGACAGTTATTCATGTTCCTGGAAAGCATCGGACTTCAGTGTTCCGGTGTTCTAGACAATGTCCCAATGTGTCCCAATCAATAAAAATGTGTATCGCTACCTCCCCTAAAATGCAGGCAACGCACTTGGCGCCGATTGCTTACCATCAGGTGATCAATCTACTAGTTTTCCGACCTACCAATCCTATTTAAAAATCATAAAAACAAATATAAACAATTTTTTAACAAAAAACTCACTTCACACACTACCTTATCAGTGCTCTGGGCGTTGTACGCTGGAATGATGGTCAGATCCTTAGCCTCGATCCTCCAAAGCACAGAAGCCAGCTTCTGTTCATATCGGTAGTGACGGACGAGGAGTGCTGCAGCCAATATGGCGGCTGCAGCGACTGCAGCAGCAGCTGACAGCACCCCAGGGTCATGTGGTAAGGAGCACTTGATGCCGTCGAAGCCACATTCTGGTTCTGCAACTGGTGGGCTTCCTCCAATCCAGGCTATGTTATTTGCTCCTACCAGTTCCTGTGATAGAAGATGATAGATTATAGTTCTATGGAAACAGGTATCATACGTAGTAGTGACCTTATTGCGCTTGACCTTCAACTTGTGTAAAGGCCTATTTAATAACCTTAAGAAGGTTGTTAGTTGATAAAAATTACGTTCAATATTCAAACTGGTTCAATACATAGCGTCTATCCAGATATTTAACGAAATAGGCTTAATTTAGCTTTCAGAAAAAATAATGTTAAAAATACATCTAATTATCCTTATAAGGAATACCATCAAACACGAATAGAAGAAAAATAATTACGTAGAAATAAAAGCCTACCAATCATTTGTATTTAGGTAAGTAGTCAATAGTATCAGTCGATCGAAAATAGATTATCTTGGAAACGTGACGTGAATTTTGTAGTGAAACGAAAGAAAACAAGAGCCTCTTGGATAATTAGGTTGTTGTACTGTATTCCATTTCAAGTCAGGTGGCGTGACGTGATCCTTAAGAAGAAAAGGTCAAGTTATCTCCCAAAAGGGGTAAGTAGGTGTAACAGTTTCTGTCATTTTTTTTGTCAGGGGAAAATCATCCAATCGGTCTTCTCCCGCCCAGAGTAAGGCGAGAGAGAGTGTCAGACTCTTACTTATTAACCCCCCTCCCGTTCCTTCTCCTGCTCTGGGAGCCAGACTTTTAAACCTCCTCTAGATACGAGAAGTACTATACTTGATCACTTGCTTAGTAATTGCATTTACAAGCTTTTGACCTAAGAGCCTGTTATTGTTAACTTCAATCCTGAAAGTGACTAGGAATAAAAAGGAGAAATAGGGATTACCTATGCACTTATCGTTATATTAAATAGAAGATTCCAAGAATAATAATAAAAATTATAGTAACATATTTGAGATATCTACTTTTGGTATCTTATATCTAGGATACCTGGTATCTTATAAGCTATAGTTTCCTACTAGGTATAATCGTAGCTATCTATTTACATTCATTATAATACCATAGAATATTTAGTCTGAATAGAAAGGTATTGTTATGTAAGAATTTATTGTTATAACTCACTAGTATAATATTTTTAAAGAAGCTTATTTGCTTTTCAATTGCATTGTCTTTTTTTATGTGATAGGACGGCAAACGAGTTATAAATTATTTCTGTGATAATTAAATCATATGTTAAAAGGCGTAGAGTCGAAATAAACAGCGTTATTTTAAAGAATAAAATTAAAATATGGCTTGTGATTCTATTCGAAGAGTTTAGAGCAACTTAAGTTCAAGCAAATAAAGTTTTGAAAGATTCCTAAAATAGCTTGAGGTGTAGGGAGCTGGTGTAAAATAAATAACACGTCTGTTCACGATGTACTTTATTCTTTTCATAATCCTAACTACTACAATACCCTATACATATACCATATACCCCACTTCAAGCTGATAGTTGCTAAACTCATGGCTGTCGCAATTTTATGCAACTAACCTACGCAGCATTCATAATCGGGTTTTTTTGTGAGGGGAAAATAATCAAATGACTTCTCCCGCCCAGGGCTGGGCGGGAGGGAATGTCAGATTCTTACTGACTAAAAACCCCCTGTTCCTTCTCCTGCTCTAGGCCGAGGTCGCGATGCCTCATTGCGCTTACCCCGCAACCCTGGCTGATTAATAATCGGGTGGTTTACTAGTCCAAAGCTAAATTATTTAGATTTTAAATACAATATATTTTTTAAATAAATTCCTACTTATATTCCTTGATTTGAAAACATTCTTTATCTAAGAGAAATTCTCTCATTTTTTAGAAATAGGTGTGCTGTCTGACGCTAAAGCATTATAACGTTATATGTTGTGATTCGATACAATGTTACTGTCACTGGAGTTCCGATGATTGTTAATAGTTTTAGTTAATTTGAATTTCGAATTCCAAATTCGAATTGGTCTGTATCCGCAGTCCAATGGAAATGTATGTAAACAACTAGTTGCCCTGTTACCGTGCTGTTAAGTTAAACATAGCAAACCAGTGCATATCGATGAAAACTGCATTTATTTCTACTCAGTACTTTTTGCATGACACAAATATAAACACAGACTAACGGTCGGGACAAAAAGGAATATTACAATTGGCTTCTTGATCTCTAATTAAAACTATTATAATTTTTATTCAAAATCTTTAACGTACAAGCACATCGGTTAATTTATTATATGCATAGATACCTAGTTGTATTTAAACTTCGAAATACGAGAGTAAGGTAACCGAGCTCTTAGTCAATAATTAATGCTGTAAAATGACCAATGAATACGATCTTCTCAATTTGATTGCCATGTCAGATAAATAGTTATTTAGTCCATTTTTAGGAGTAAGCGACTGGCAAAATACATGTGCAAAGACATAGAGGCCAAATCCAGATCAGTGTTACTTTAAATACAACAGTCTGTGATGCCATCCTCACTGTCCAAGACAAAACAAGATGGTGAACGATTGTCCATGAGAAAATGATTCGTCGAGGTCATGACCTTTAGCATTTAGCAACTCAGAATACACGTCGCAAGGAGCAGAAATGGGATAATGTTACGAAATACGTAATAATTCGACTGCACGGTTGGCGCGGTGGCTGGGCAACTGGCTGCTGCGCAACGTGTCGCGGGTTCGATTCCCGCACGGAACAACTCTTTGTGTGATCCACAGATTGTTGTTCCGGGTCTGGGTGTGATATGTGCATGTGAATTTGTATGTTTGTAAACGCACCCACGACACAGGAGAAAATCCTATTGTGGGGCAACGTTTTTAAAAGAAAAAAAAAAAAAAAAAAAAAAAAAAAAAAAAAAAAAAAAAAAAAAAAATAGTTCTATCTTTTCCTATGGAATTAAGGCCATTAAAATAATAGGTCTATCTTTATCTATAAAATTGCCATTCTGTTGTATTGGCCAATTCAAACCACATGTTTTTTACTTATATTTCAAATTAATTTTACTTTTAAAAAACTTAGAATTATTATTCATTTTGTTTAAGAGATGGTCTTTTGTTTTTAAAGTATCTGAATATTTTTCATCATCGTGGATAAGTTTAAAATTGGAATAATTGGGAAACGGCAATTTCATACCTACCAGCGTTATAGGTTGTACCTATGTCTGAAGATTCCCAATAGCTAAGTTTACTGATTTTGTGTTTAAACTCTGTCTACATATTCCTGCAGGGGATAACAAGCCAAGATATTAGTTATTCAAGCTAATATGGCGCAACATCTAGAACGTTTACGTGGCACGGATTATCATACAAACTTTCTACTCAAATATCACAGAAACTGCTGGACATTAATCAATGAAATTTGGCACTTACGCAAATAAAATGTTTTTGATCTTGATTTATTCTCCAAACAAAAATTAAAAGAATGGCTTTTAAATTTCTTGCCTGATAATTCATTATTTCTTAGTATCCCTATTTGCATTTAGCAAGATGATACATGCGTGGTTATGTTATATTTCTCAACAATAGTTTATTCCGCGGACATTGGTGTGGGTTACATGTTAATTATAGTTCCTTGGTTACCAAAATTGTAAAATATAACTGTTTTATGTCCCTATAAAAATATATCAAGGTCTTAAACGTTACGAAAAAAAGTGGACAGTTACATCAACAAATTCTGACTGTTCTGACTACAAAGTCAGTTACTTCGATACAATCACGTAGATTTTTACTCGTAATTTGTTCGAAAACATTAACTTTTCCACCTTGAGCAGGTACCAAATTTCATTAAAATAAGTTCAGTACTTTACTCCTAAGTAAGTTTGCAATCAATATCCAAAGTTACTACAGCGATGGTTGGAGAGTTTACCCAATCTAAGCACTAGTTTCACAACTGTTTAAGACCTCAATTAGCTGTAGAAATTTTAGTATGAAAATAACGTACAATTTATATTATTGGACGATCAACAATGGAATACTTGACACTAAACAAATTAAATATTGAAAATGTCTTTGTTTGAGAATTTTGTTCAAGACTGTGTGTTCTGACGTTATGTTCTTTTCGTCAACTAACTTACCTTTTCATCTGTCATAGACTGCTGTAAGTGTGGGAGAGCCAAGCTTCGGCACGAATGGTTCGGCTCGACCGGTGTGATACCACGGCCTCACAGAATACCGGCGTGAAACAACCCACAGCTTTGTGTTTCGCTGTGTGAGTGAGGTTACCGGAGGCCCAATCCCTCCCCTTCCCCTATCCCTTCCCAATCCTTATATCCGCAACCCCTATCCCCAAATAGCTGGCAACGCACTCGTAACTCCTTTGGTGTTGCGGATGTTCATAGGCGGCGCCGATTGCTTACCATCAGGTAATCCGCACTGCACTCGTTTGCCGATCTATACCATAAAAAAACTAGTCTATATAATAATGATCTTAATACATATGTTTTTTTTCGAATAGGACACAATGTGTACGATATACACATGCACAATCGGGTTGCCAGCCTTGAAGAGATAAGGAATACTCGTTTCTTAAAGATTTAAAGGTCTTTTCGGTTCAGAAATACCGCCGCTGAAAGATCATTCAAAAGTTTTGCTGTCCGAAGCAGAAATTTTTGGGAAAATCAAACAGTTGTAGACTGCCAACTAACTTTATGATAGGGTTAGAAGTTTTGTCGGTCGATTGCGAAAAGATGCGGCAGGGGTCAGTGCGGACAATTTTTCAAAGCATTCTTGCCTGTTTAAGCGATGGAAGATGTACAGGGAGACTTCATCCCTATTCTGTGACGAAGTTCCTGAAACATCAGCCTCTTCGCTGGAAGCCACGGGCAGAATTTGGTGCTGGGATGCTCAAGGATGATATGTATATGTATGTAGTGGGTACATCTAATAAAAATGTGTTACCATGTGATCAAAACCACTATACCTAAGAGAATTATTCTTTTTTAACTTGTTGAATATAACATGGAAAAAAGTTTACACGAAAAAAAAAAATCGACAAATTCACTTGGATCCAGTGAATAATATTGAAACTTGTTAATCCAAATGCAATATGGAACATTTTCCGTTTAATTTGTTCAAATTGCTGGAACTATTTGGACAATTTAAGGATTGCGATTGACTGACCCAGATTATTAATATATTTAATATGAATAAAACATTCCACTTCATTATATAAATTGATATTAAAAAAGATTGATCTGATTGGCGATTTTACAGAACAAATTTAATAATTTAATTTTTGATTGAAAATTACATGTTTATATACCTACAATGATATTAAGTAAAATGGTATATGCACACATTAAGAAATCGTATGATACACGTTAAAGTGGGATGGCATGATTAAATAATCGCGAGTGAAAAAGAGACAAATATGAAAAAGTGTGTGGTAGTTAGCCACATTTTAATGTATCACTTGCTGAGCGCTTGTCTACACCTTTTTACTTATAATATTATTGTTTATATAATAATTATTTTTTATTGAAAATAACGATAATCTCACGCGAATTAAGAGAGAAACGCTATCTATGTCAGCTGTGCGACGTCGCTGCGACGCGCACGCTGCTTATAAATAAGAGTAGGTATCGCTGTGACTTCAAAATAACTCGTTTCTCAATTCTCGTGATTAACGCCCGGTTCCTATAATTGAGAAACGATCCGTTTTAATTACGAATAGTAGTTTTATATACGACTCGTAAGCTAAAACCATTCCTATAATAAACGTCTCGTCGTGCAACTTACTGACGGTTTGAAACTAACGGATATCGGTAAGCGAATTGTATGGAGATCTATGGTGTTTGTGGTTTTCCTATAAATATTTTAACCGTCAGTAGACGGTCGAGATAACTATTCGTAATGTCTTTGGTCGTAATGCGTATACAACGACGATTCGTTAAATATAGGAACCGGGCATAAGTCCATATTTTCAATTTACTATTCATTTTATATCACATAAAGCTACTCATTTTCAGCAAGCGTTTTATCGGTTTGGTTTAAGTCTATTTCCGACTTTATGACAAAGGCAATAAAATTTAAAATTTACGTAGCAGTTTAAGTCCAATCAGCAGCTGTTTCTACTATATAATGATACTACTATTGTTGTGTATACTAACCGGTAGGAAGTCGGATGCATTGACATATCGGAAGGTGGCGACTGGCTGAGCGGTCCAGCCTCCAGGTACACTGGAGTTTGCCACCAGACCTATCACTGTGAAGTTTCCTTCAGCATCACCTGCACTGTCCATATTCACCTGTGGAAGAAAGAAGACTAGTTAAAAATGTTCAGAAGGCACTTTATTTTACTGGGTTCTGCCTGTTGTTGTGCACTTCTGACGATTGATTGGCTGATGGGACATCCGTCATTACCAAAGAATTTAGGAGAGCTTTGACGGCGTATTGTGGATTTAAGGATTTAGGGACTTAGGATTAGGGACTTTTGCGAGCTCTGGTAACTTCAATTCCAAGGCCTAACTCAACACACTCGCTGGTATTCTCGGTCTGTGCGACTGTGGTGTGGGCCATAATTACTTTAAGCAATCGCCGGACAACCGCGACATCCAAGACGTTACGAATGCGTTTTGCCTTTTGAGGATAGGAGGATTTCGGAGGTTTAGGGATTGGTGAGGGATAGGGGAGGGAAAGAATATGGTTATGGTTACACCACCATCACTCACACGGCGAAACACAATTTTATGGTTGTTTCAAACTAGTTTTTTTTGAGGTCCAATCATGCCCGAGCGATTCATGCCGAAAAATGGTTTGCCCACATTTATTCTGGCATTGATCATAAATTCTATAAATAACTTTGTTAAATAAAAAAGTTTTTAATAGCTTTCTTTGAGACACAATCGACTTATACATTAAGTTAATTTGTTACAGTCATCATTCTTCATAGTATTAATTCCCACTTGGAAAGGAGTAGCTCCAACATTGAAGTGATACTTCCAATAAACATTTTATAGTTTGCTTTCATTTCAATATCAATATAATTCTTAAAATTGCGCTTCATTTTCATCGAAGACCGGTTTCGTTATAAAAAGCATCGATTCATGCTCGTTAGGTGGCTATTTCTCAACCAATAATATATTACGAGATTTCTGAGAAAATGAGCAATAAATAATTCTGTTCTGTTCTGTAGTTTCCTGCAAATAAAGGATTCGGTTGATGTTTACTTTTACGGCTGCTCGCAAAATGGCGTTGCCGAAATTGGCGCAATGGCCAGGTGACCTGCAAGGCAATGTGACGTTTCTTTGTTTATTTATAACTAGCGACCCGTCCTGACTTCGCATGGATACAATACTTACACTAAATTTGTCCACTTTTTAATGCATGTTATTATACATATGAACCTTCGTCTTTAATTACTCTATTAAAAAACCGCATCAAAATAGGTTGCGTTGTTGGATATAGCGACAAAATAAGCGACGAAACTTTACAAAATAATGTTAAATTAGTGATTGTTTGAATTACTGACACCTCAAAGGCCTCCTCCATCTCTTAACACTCTGTTTTGTAAATTTATACCTACTTATTAAATGAAATAAAAATTGGTTATACAGGGAAAAAAATTCTTTACGAAGTATATTCTTATATCTCCATTTCATAATAAAAAAATAAAAATACATCATGTTTTATTTTTTATCCATTACAAAATACTATCTAAATAGTCGTTTTTGTGTCATAAACCAATATGACTGCTGTAAAAATAAAAGAAATTGCCTTAGCAACGGTAACGACGAGACATGTGATAAACCAGACGGTATTACATTCCAAATTGGATAGAAATGTTTCTAGATTTGATAAGAAATGTTAAGTATCTACAGAGATGTATTATAGGACTTTTATTAGATCTATTACAACCTTATGATGTTTTTATTATTGAAAATAGGCCAGCTCATACGCAGTGATGCAATGGTTGCCCAGAAAACCGACGTGTAACAACAGCAGCAACAGTTTTCCTTGTGTTGCGCTGTTGTCCCTAATCTCCAATTATTATAATTTTTAAATATGTTACCCTCGGAAGGAAGAAAAAATAGCACTTCATACATCAGGTTTCCTTTGGCGCCACCGATTTTCCTATCATTCAGGTGAACGATCAGGTCGTTCGCCAAACTATTAACTTCTTTGACATGGAGAAGGTTTAAGATTTATAACCACCATACTGACTCAAGTCAATCATTCAATTGCAAAACAATAACAGTTCTGATTCTCTGACGATATTTTCCTACACCGTCACTGGTATCTGAACATTCTATGAAAGTTCATGTAACTCGGAAAAATCGAAAAGGTCCTTGGCAGGTTTCGATTTGCATGCAACGCATGAGAAGCGGGGTACGTGACTTAAGACCTTATCTTCCACAAACTAATATACAACTGTAACCACCTCGTTCGTCAAATGTCTATCGAGCTACATTTTTTTACATACTACTAAGCAGAGAGCTCTTCTCGAACGGAGAAGGTTTACACATTAATCACCACGCTTGATCAAGGCGGATATAATTAGAAGTCAACGTTTCCTCACGATGTTTTCCTTTAACGTATATCAATGGTGTCGAAATAATCATTAAAAGTACATATTATTTGGAAAAATTAAGTAAAAATCGCGGATATATATTATATATGAGCAGCGTGCGCGGACGCGGCGACGTCGCGCAGCCTACATTTCATGGGGAGGAACCCCTCAGTGGTTTGAAACTAGTAGAGCTTTTCTCAATATATACACGTGAGTAACCCGCGATTTTTAGTTAATTTAGTATGTCTCACGATAGTTATTATTTGGAAAAAGTCACATTGGTACTTGGCAAGCTACCATAACGTTACAATTATTCACTCAAAACATATCATAGTTTGATTTTCCAATGAACTATTCGATTATTTGGATTCATCAGTTAATCACCTTCGACACTTGTTTCGGACAGCACAATATTATGTTACTCGTATTGCTCTAATCATATTTGTATCGAATACGTGCCGACCTACTTTTGCCCATAATTTAATGCATAATAATATATAGTTATTAAATAATGAGTTGGTATTATTAGACGTTACTTACATGGTAGAACTTCAGTTGACGCAACAATCACCATAACCATTATCAGCCTATTAGTGTCCACTGCTAAGCTGAGGCCACATAACTACGACTGCTCGTTGCAAATTGGATATTTCAAAATAAATAAGAAATTATAAGGCGAAGTTAACTTAAGTGACGTTGCTGTTTGTGATGTCTTAATAATCTTAGAACGTACATCTAATGTAACTCAGAAAAAATCAAATTGACCAGAAAACCAGTATTGACTACACGGTTGAATCGGCTGCCGTACAACGTGTCGCCGGTTCAAATCCCGCACGAAACTACTCTTTGTGTGATCTCCAAATTGTTGTTTCTTGTCTGGGTGTGATGTGTATATGAATTTGTATGTTTGTAAACGCACTCACGACACAAGAGAAAATTCTAGTGGGGCAATGTTTTATTTAAAAAAAGTTATAAATGAATGTATATGTATAATATAAATAGCCACTTGAATTAAATGTTTTTTTTACTCTAAATGACATAGTTTGAAAATGTGCTTAGTTTTTCTGTACAGATGCTGTATAATCTATTCTGTCCATCTATACAGTTTTTTACAGAATACCAGATTTAATATTAAGAAAACTTAACATTAGCGTATTTAAGTACTAACATATATTTAAACGATGAAATTATTGAACCACTCACAATTTTAAAATTGGAAAATGTTACTTTCTTTCTATTAGGTGTCAATGTAAATTAAACCACACGTAATAGTATCAAGAAGAGTTTTTACTAAACTATGTATATGCATTTGAGGTCATTTTTGTTGTACTCGTATTTAGGCTCGCGAGTGAAGTAGCCACGTGTACTGTTGAACCAATTTTAAATGTCAGTTCGGTTAGAACAAAGTGACCTAAAACTGTTTTACGTCAAAGGCTTCGCTGGAATCTATTTTTTTCTATGTACGTAAATGTACCTAGGTATGGTATACGTATATTTTTTAAACTATAGTAACGCTTTTAGCTAATTGTTCTTTTTTCAGTTTTTTATAAATAATGATTAATGACTCCTTCCGTACTAGATGAAGCTAGTGTCACAATATTCTTGAATAAAAACCATCATATTTCAACCAGTTCTCCGAGCTTGGCAGCGGTTTGCTTATTTTGACAAGAATGTAAAGTTCAATGTGATTTCATTAAACTTTTTTTTATCAAAATATTTTCACTTCCCCAACTCTAACCGCGAATGTCAAAGCAAGGCACTTCTCTGATGGTCCATATCCTTTTATATAATATCGAATATCAAATAATCGTTTTTCTTTCTTTATTTCAATAAAAAGAACTTAGAATTTCCAATGACGTGTTAAAAATAATCTAAATAACTACAGTTTGATATATAAAGAAATATGTAAATCTGAATGCATGTTCATATTTACTTCCCAGAAAGTGTGTACGTGACTTGCCCACATAGAGAGCACTATTCCACCGGAGAAAAGTTTTATTATAAGATTTGTAACAAAAAAGATATAATTTTATTATATCTTTTATTATTTCGACATTTTTATGATTCTCGTCAATAGCGGCTGAATATCGGCCCATTGACCCTCAGCTGTATTTACCTGATGGTTCTTTGACAGACGCATTGAATGCTGCGCACTGCGTTCTGTTTTTTCTATTTACCTGGCCTTGACCTTTCTTTTTTATGTAATACGACGGCAAACGATCAGACGGATTACCTGATAGTAAGCAATCGGCACCGCCCATGGACACCAGCAACACCAAAAGAGTTACGAGTTTGTGGCTGGCCTTTTAGGAATAAGGGTTTTGGATATTTAAGGATTGAGAAGAGATGGGGTAGGGGCAGCTATTGGGCCTCCGGTAACCTCATTCACCCGGCGAAACACAACGTTTTGTTTGTTTCACGATGGTTTTTTATGAGACCTTTGTATCAGTCCGGTCGAACCGATACACTCGTGCCGAAGCATGGCTCTCCCACACTTTGTATAGACAGTGACCTATTTATTTTTACCTAAGATAGAGGCATATATCCCGGGAAGTAGGAGCAATAATATTAAACATTAATTCCGGTAATTCCCACTGAGATCGAAGTACGCAAACAGGTGACAAAATTCTAGGTACTTATCTATATCAATAGTACTAGAGATACGCCAATGATATAAAATATCGATATCACTGAATACAACGAGACGAGACAGGTTTTTAATAATGTCGATAAAATAATCCTCTATAAAGCACTTATATTTATAGTACAGTCTGAGGACTAAAGATAGACGTTTTTAATAATATCGATATTACTATCAGTGATAGTGAAGGGAACAGGTTATTAATAATGTCGATAAAACTTCTTACAAAGTGGACGTCCGGAAATTCATTCAGTTTCCTTTTTGTTTAAAGTGAAAAGGCTTTGAAAAGGAAATAGTGGCTATTTTATAACCTAACAATGCACCTAAGTACCTATTGACCTAATTTCAGTGAACTATATATAGATTCTAGAATGTTTCCAGGAAATTATTGTTAGTTAAAAGCACATTTAATAAATTATGGACCTACGATCTTGGTTTCCTTGAAGCTTTTTTTAAATTACAATGTTTCTTGGAAACAAATTAAAAGTAGTTGTGTTTTACAGTTCGAAACGTTCTTTGGTTGTTACAATTGTCAAACATTATTTTGTCAGAATTTTAAAAGAATCTAAGATCATATTATATTTGTATAATCCGACTACCGTAAGCCCAATCCTCGCCGCCCAGTTCAAATCCGTATATTCAAATTACTTACTCCCAAAAGATAAACTTGTTGTCAACGCAACGCCTATCCTACGCCCTTAGACCATATGGTCTAAGGATGACATCATTTACTTATCACTAAATTACATACATATGTAAATTTTATGTTTAAAAGATTTCATGTAATTTTTACTCTGTACCGTAATTTACATAATTTGGGAATCAAACCACCAATAATCATTTAGTTATGTAGAAGAACAAATACATAAATATATTTCGTGTACATCACGACACGGCTGTGAAAGAAACTGATAAAATATATCATCGGCTGTGTGGATTTCTATTTATCATAATTACATGTCAAGTTATTTTATCGGAAAGGTTTGTCATGGGCATTATTATTACATACATTGATCGTAGGGGAAATGGGATGGATAAAATTGAGCGACATTCACAAATATAGAGGATTGCTTTTGCGATAAAACTGTGTCAGGTCTTGCGATTGTTAAGATACATATTTTGAAGAACATCGTCATACCAATCTATGAGTGCCCAATTCTGTGTTAAAGTATCTTTATATACGTAGTATATGTATTGTAGTAGACATTGATCACCACGTTATTTCAAGACCGATTGGCGAAGAGATGTTCACCATTTATCCGTGATGTCTTAGTAATCTTAGAAACTTTTTGTAACTGGAAGAAGTTACTAAGGTGCTAGCTAGGTTTTGTCACTTTTTGTACTCATGTACGAGAAAAAGCGCCTTAACCAAGAATTTAATCACATTAAAAATGTTAACTATTAATCTCAAAATAAATTATTATGTGTTACATTGTCTACGTAATTAAAAACATTTCTTAAACTTTATTCACTCCACTCCGATAAAAATATAAGATTTTGTTATCAGTTATTTTGATAACACGTAGTAATATTGACAGCATTGTCTTAATAGACATAAATGTAGATAAGGAATAGAGAAATGGTTTTTACCTATGCAGCTTTGCCTTTGGCACTAATGACCAATGAAGATTAGCTAAAGGTACTATGTACGTATAGCCTATCACGTGTAATTAACTTCATTACCTATCTCAACAACCAAGACCATTTAATAAAGATAATACAACTGCGAAAGAGAAATGAAGCACGTGTATTATTAATAGTTTTCAAGGTTGCACAACAGGTATTTAACTTAAATACAGTGAGATTATACTATCAAACTCATCAGAAACAGATTATTCCAATACAAAGTGACTATTCAAGCGATTAGTTTTAAATCTTCCAAATTAATTAAATACATAGAGTGTAGGAACTGTGCTACGAACTCGTATACCGCAATCTTCGTAGCTGCGTAGCCAAATTGCTACGGCGTAGCATATTTCCAGTGGAGTGGTATCTTAAAGTTGGTGATTCTTGGAATTTATTTTGCTTAATTTAGCAAACGTTGTTATGTTATTTTTATCACTTCAATGGTTTCAAAACTTTTATGAAATAACTGGTTCCTAAAAACATTTAAAATAAAGTTTTCGTCGTTTTTATTCCTGAGGCCACAGGTGAAACTGACACGTGCCAATGTTTTGTTTGTATGAGTTTCAACCTTGTTACTATAGGATACAGGATTAAAAGTTTATTGAAGTGTAACCTGATACATTCCAATGGAATATTAACGAGGAAAAGTTTCACAAACTGGTTTTCAAGTAATTGTTATATTGGAAATTTAAAGTAATCTTATATTTTATTATTTTCTAACAACAAAGAAGTTGTTTTCTTTATCCCAATAGAATGAAATCATGCTTACGGCAAAATAGAATAAAATTAGGTTATTAGCCGACAAAGGAATCTCATCCGAACGAAATTGTATTTTTATAAAACGCTTACACGTGAAAATAAGCATTGAAATAACTGGTTTGAAGTGTGATGTCTTATTCATTAAATATTATTGCATCACGTGACTCATTTCGTATAAAAGACATAAGCAGCACGCACAACTCATAATTCATTTCAACTCTTAACATAACTTAGTTCAAATACGTACTAATTTCTAGACTAGAAAACCAAGCGTGATCAGACCATGCTGTTATTTCTTCTTTTATGTGGGAGAGCCGAAGCTTGGCGGTTTCACGATTATGACTCTTATCACGTTTAATTTTGGAACACGACACTATAACTGAAAATATTTTGGATAAACGAGATCGGAATACCACAATCGGATCGAATAATAAATGCCTACGAGAACAAATGTTGAACCGGGGCTGAGCAGCCATGAAAAAAAACAAAAGGTAAGTAGCTAGACAGACACTCCCTTTCATCCACCCAGGGCGAAAAAAAATGATGATTTTTTCTTCTCAAAATAAGAAAACATGCAAGAAATTATAAGTACAAAACACATTTTATGACGAAAGTAACAACATATTACTCAGACCCAATAATCATCTTATACAAACAAACAGACTCATTTTAAAACTGAATTCTTGTTTGTGAACATAACATAATATTATAATCTAACTTCCAATGAATAAATTAAATCCCCTAAAGATAAAGTTTACCCGTTCATTGCCCTTTGGGCGAAAAAAGATAAAGGTTCGCCACTTAAACTTAAGTTTTGAGATATAATCGTGGGGTTTCACAAAAAAAATGTACATTAGACGATGATAATAATAGTAATGGTGTAAATTATTTAATTACGTAAGTAGGTGGTTTTGATTCTTGTAAATAAATTTCTTTGGTGAATTATTTCTTATATGTTACTTAATTTTGTGATATCATGATCATGATAGCCAACAGGATTAAAGTTCCTGCTTGGTAATCGTATGTTTTCGTCCACTTCTATGAACATAAAATTTATCAGCGCGCATTTCTGAACTTCTGAAAGATTTTTAATAGTGTATTCTACAATACTATAATTCCTATCTACAAATAGTATATGTAAGATGAGATAACTAGGGCTGATGTCTTGCCGGGGTGGCGGAGCGGGAGAAAGTATAGTGTAGCTATGAGTTAGTAAGAGTCTGAAACTACGAGTACCTCTCACCAAACCCAAGGCAGGAGATGATATTTCGTAATGTGTCTTACTCAAAAGACCTATAAATCCAAATAAAAAACTATCCAAACTATATTCAATATTAGAAATGCGAAAGTAACTCTGTCTGTCTGTCTTTTCTTCACGCCTAAACTACTGAACCTATTTGTGTGAACTTTGGTACAAACATAGTTTGGAGCTCCAGAAAAACCTATGATACTTTTTAAACCAAAAATCTGCACGAAGTCACAATTCCACGCGAACAAAGTCGCGGGCAAAAGTAGATGTTAATACTTTAAAATAATAAAGGACACTTACGTCAAATCCTTGCACAGATCTGTAAGTAGTTGGGCGTAGAAGTTGCATAAGGGTCGCGCCATCTGTCGGTGATATCCCGGACTGCATCACGGCTGTCGCTGCCCTCGCCCACAGAGTTACTGCATCGTATAAATGAGCTGCCTCTATAGACACCTGGGGAATTAAAATAATAGGTAAAATATATTTAGACATGGGTAAACTACTTATGGCTGATATAATGGTTATGATTAGAAGTAGATGTCCTGCTTATCCATATTTCTAATGCTGGAAAGACGACCTTCGACGACGCTTTATACAGGAAATTCTTCAATAGGGGGAGAATTAGTGGCTAGAAGTGAATGAAAAATGAATTTCCGGATTTGGTATAATAATTGTTTTGGTTTTTAAGTGTAGGTGATCCATTTTGCGGCCATAATTAGTCGGCATGATATATGAACAAGGGTTCATACAGAAAAGCAGCGTAAGCCAAACACAGTGTGAGTGAGATTACCGGAGATCCAATCCTTCTTCCCCTTCCCCAAATCCCTCTCCTATCTCTAACTCTTCGTCACCCTAATCCCCAAAAGGCTGGCAATACATTCCTTACTCTTTCATTGTTGAGTTAGCTGAGGTTAACTGTCCTATCACATTAAAACAATACAATGTAGAGTTTTTCAGTATTGCCAAAAAATCTCGAAAAGCCATATCACTAACAACATTGTTTGTGAAAAATTAATGAAACATTTTAAATATGAAACCTCTAATTAGGCATATAATTGTGTTTTTATTTCCCCTAAAGACGATGATCCGATAGACATCTAAACTAGATTTTTATTAGAACTAAATCGAAACTCAATTCCAATACTGGACTAGTTTAAATGACAAACTGGTAACAAACAGCTGTTGTATACGGGCTTGTTACGGCCTGACCTCGCCCGTACACGGCGATACAACTGTCCTACTTATCGAATTGTTATCACTACATAGTATAAAACAAAATCGTCCCTATATTTCTCTGTCTCTATATTTTTCTTTATGATTACAGGTTGGCAAAACATGTTGTGGATTACCTGATAGCAAGCAATCGGCACCGTCCATGGATCACCTAAGGAGTAACGAGTGCGTTGCCGGCCTCTTGGGGATAAGTGTTTCAGATATTTAAGGATTGAGAAGGGATAGGAGGAGAAAGAGGGATTGGGCCTCGGTTAACCGGTAACCAGTTTTCTGTGAAGCCATAGTATCACTCTGGTCGAACCGATCCATTCGTGCTGTTGCTTGGCTCTCCCACACTACATTGTATAAAACAAAGTCGCTTTTTCTATTCCTATATCCCTTTGTACGCTAAAATCCTTAAAACTACGCAACGGATTTTGATGCAATTTTTAATACACATCGTGATCGAAGAGAACTTTTACATTTAAAATATTAGTAGGACATTACTATTTAAAGTATGTAAAGGTTTTTTTTTATAAAAACTGTATTTACTATACATATGTATTGGTTGCTCTGAGTAAAATTGGAGAACATATATATGTATATCGATGAAAAAAGGAACTGTAAACAAAATTTACATACAAACAACTTGTTTAATTAATAGCAACTTGTTTTCTATGAAATCGATACAATACATCTTCTGAAAGTTTTATGTACACTATAATACACCGTATTCCTTAAGAAAAGACCCAAAATATATGACCTACAATGAATACCTTCTAGACAGTTTTCATGCTCGGGAAACTAGTTCAGAAGTTCGATATTCTCATATATTTTATTCTATGACTTCGATAACTGACCTACCTCACTGTCCAAACATTGCTTTATAATGGGGACGGATGCTATTCGAAAATAATGTAAACCGTATGATTGTTTGCAAGAAAAACTATGGCCGCATTCGCGAAAGGCAATTAATTATGTATTTTTTTTTTATTTTAATAATAAAAACCCACTTGAAATTCAGTTTAGTTTTTCTTTGAGCCAATGATTGTAGTACACGTAATTGGAACAGTCGGCATGATACTCTGAAAATATATAGGTAGTATTTTGATGAAGTCGGAAAATAACTACAAAATGGAAATATTTTATTCATTTTTATGTCTGCGTGAGGTGATGACGTCACGTTTTTATTGCATCTCTTTTTTAAATGGTACTTTTTAGAACTGTGTTTATAGACATTGTAATAAAAAAAAGTTTTAAAATTTTATATTTAAACAAGCATAAGGAATAGTAATTATATTAGTATAAGAAGCATATGTTATATTAATATGTAGGTATATTATTTTTATATGTATAAATGCATAGATTTTTTAAATGAAAAGAGCATTATTATAGATATAGAATAGCCATAGTTATAAGTAGATATTAACTTAAATATTTTGTGGAACAATTCGGTAGAATGTGTAAAATTCCATTTAATATAAAAAACCTATATTTTTACTGAAAATATTTCTTTCTTTATATATATTTACAGTTTATTAACATATTCTAAGTCTATGGATAATGTTTCAAATTACGCTAGCTTTGTTCACCTACGACGGATTTATCTTTGCATCATTCAAAGGTTCGGCTGTTACAAAATGCCCATGGCGTTTAGCCTACCTATTGTACAACATTTTTTGTGCATGAAGTTATAAATAAATAAATAATACCTACTTGTACTTCAATTTATCCTAAAGATGAAATGTAATCCGCTGAACAGTCTGTATTCGTTTTTGATGTTTATTTTTAGTTCTTTAATGAAACTAATGGCTATGTATGAAAAGCTTCTTTTGTTATTTTTGAAATTCTAAGAAGTTTTTTACTTATGTTGTAATGTAGGTAGAAAAAAACCTCAAACTTCTTTTGATATCCCGAGAATCGTTCTTTTATTAAACTAAAAAACACTCAAGTAGATTTCTTAACAGCTTTTTATGAGCTCAGTCTGAGTATGAACATGACGCTACAATGTGAGTTCCGCAAGGTTCTCAGTAAAGTCAGCAAAATGAGAATATTGCAAAACTTTACCAAAGTTTGGATTAAGTTAGCCATTCCGTGAGTTTTATCAAAACTACAATCTTCCTGGAAACTGTATAATTTTCATTGGAGTGTGATATCGGGATAATTAAAACATGACTCTAAAATTACTTCGATAACCGTTTTGTTTGGTAAGCAAAGTACTTTTTTTTTGCGCAGAGAAAATCGTCAAATTACTTCTCCCACCCAGGTTAGAGCAGGAGGAAGTGTCAGACTCTTACTGACTAATAACCACCCTGTTACTTCTACTGATCCAGGCCGTGGTGGCGGTACCTTATTGCGATTGACCCAAGGCCAGGCGCTGGACGTGTTTCCCATCTATGGTGGTCTAGAGGGTAATACTTGGATTGGATTGCTGGGTCAGACCAAGCATAAAAGAATAATTATGGTAATTATTATTTGCTTTGTGGGCGCACTGATAGTTTGTGTCTACATCACCCAAAGATTTGACTGGTTAGAGAATGCCCATGGGATTATATCTACCTAATGTACAATATTTTGTCCATGAAGCTGTAACTTTTTTCAGTTTAAGGAAGAGATGGACTCTAGAACACACTCCTATGTATGACAACAGGATCAAAATACTGGGAAAAATTATGTGCAATATTGCATATAGTGGTCCTCCTGGTGGCCTGAGTAAAGCTCCCGTACAAGTACCAATGTGACCTTTTTCCGAGTTATGTACTTTTGAAGATTATTTAGATACCACTGACGGTAAGAGAAAATATCGGGAGGAGACCTGGATTTAGAATTTTTAATTATAAGTCTATTTATTTATTTATTTTATAAAAAAAGAGAAGGGTCAAAGGATATTAGATATTCCAATACGCTAGAACAAGCGTGGTCATCAATGGTCAAACCTTCTTTGTGTGAGAAGATGTAGTACGCACTTAATGGCTAATGTTGATAATGGATTGATTCCTGTGTCATGGATGCGTTAACAAAGATACAATTTACATACACATCACACCTACATAATGTTTATACTTATGGAAAAATGTATGTTTGTACCCAAGTTATGAAAAAAAAATCCTACAACAATTTCTGGGTTACACTAATTCTTGTTAATAGGCTTGTAATTATATAACACTATTATATTATCTGTACTTTTTTTCTTTTGAAAAAAAAAAAAACGTTGCCCCACACTAGGATTTTCTCCTGTATCGTGCGTGCGTTTACAAACATACAAATTCACATACACACATGACACCCAGACCCGGAACAACAATTTGTGGATCACACAAAGAGTTGTTCCGTGCGGGAATCGAACCCGCGACACGTTGCACGGCAGCCAGTTGCCCAGCCACCGCGCCAACCGTGCAGTCAAAATACTAATATTATAAAGAGGGTAAGTTTGTATGTAGGGGGTAACCTTTGGAACCGCTGGTCGGATTGCCAAAATTCTTTCACTGATAGATAGCTACAATGTTCCTGAATGCTATAAGGCTATAAAATATCACGTTACGATCAAATGGAGCCGAGCAGCGGGTGAAACCGCGCGAGAGTAGCTAGTGATAAGTACACGGCAATACACACCAACCTAATCACTCATTCTTAGAAGGAATAGACAGTTTTAATATTCCTCCTTTTTCTGAAGGATTTATAACTCTACGATCACCGGACATAATGGAGACAGCGCGAATGGTCTACCGCATAGCGACATACATCTTTCCAGACGATTGAACATTTAGGTCTACACAAAAATGGCGTCACAATATTCTGTGTCTCTGCTAAAGGAAAAAAGAAACAAAAACAAACAAAAAACAAATCGCTTTTCGTATGTTACGATAACAGATGTATTTCTATATTTATATAGGCCGTGTGTACAATATAATATTGTATATTTATTTTTATACTAAATACTAAATGTTTTTTCTACATTTATTCCATAGTTTCGGTTTCGATAACGTGAATTTTTCTTATGGTTTTAAGGTTTTGTAAGAATATAGAAAAAAAGTGTTGTTTTTTTTATACGTATTTATTGTATAGTTGGTTTCTTTGAAATACAAAATATTTTTTTATATGTAGCCCTTTTATACATAAAACATCCAAATACTGACTCCAAATGACTCTTTTCGCCCACCCTGGGCGATTAGAGTCATTTGGATTTTTTCGCTCCATAGCGAGAGACTCTTACTGACTAAAAACCTATCCATTCCTTTTCT